TAATCGGGTCCCACTCAGTGTTTACGATTTATTTTCAAGAATCATGAAATTCCATAAGCTCTGATTGCTGAGATTTAAAGATTGGGTATTGAAATCTCCAGCTAAGAGTATTTGATCAAACCCCAGGAGTGGCAGTTGCAGTATTACCTCAATCAGTTTGCTTTTCTGGGCCTTAGTACCCGAAGGAGGTCGGTAGATCCCTCCAATCAAGTATTTCGCGCCATTCGAGTGGAAACAACACCAACATGATTCTGTCATCTCAGTTAGTTGGGTGTCGTATAGTCGCTCTGATTTAAGATGCTATATATATATATATATATATATATATATATATATATATATATACTCGAACACCACTGGTCGAGTGAGAGCATATGGCGGAATGTCATCTGAATTCTCTACATCAAGTGGTCTCCGTCAGAGATGTCCACTCTCTCCATTCTTGTTTAACTTTGTCTTTGATATGCTTTTAGCGTTAACATTAAGCTCGTCAGATTTTTCAGGAGTCGACTTTCTACCAGGAAAATCGCTTACCGACTTAGAATTTGCCGATGACATAGTTCTATTCGGTGAAGACTCTGACAAAATGCAGAGTCTTCTGACTACCCTACGCAACAATGCAAGCATGTTCGGGATGCGACTCTCCTCATCGAAATGCAAAATGTTGCTTCAAGGCTGGGTTGCATCGACACCTGAACTAGTGATAGGGAGTGAAGTAGTCGAGCGTGATGATCACTTTACTTATCTGGGAAGTCTCATCAGCGCTGATAGCCTGGTGACTGACGAAATCTCTGCACGGATACAGAAAGCTCGATTGGCTTTTGCCAACCTGCGTCACTTATGGCGTAGGCGTGGTGTCCGTTTACTAACCAAAGGACGGGTGTGCTGCGCAGCAGTTCGTTCCGTTCTCCTAAATGGATGTGAAACATGGCCGTTAAGAGTAGATATTCGTAGGTTATTAGTATTCGATCATAGATGTCTTAGAAGCATCGCTCGTATATCATGGGACAACCGAGTAAGCAATGCTGTAGTTAGGAAACGAGTACTAGGTAAGGATGGCAGATCAATTGATGAAGTTGTGAAACTTCATCAGTACAGGTGGTTGGGACATGTGTTACGTATGCCTAACCACCGACTGCCTCGACGAGCTATGTTTTGTGGTGTAGGAGTAGGTTGGAAGAAATCTAGGGGCGGCCAAACCGAAACATGGCAGAAATCCATGAAGTCACTGACAAGTGAACAGAGTCATGTTGGTAGATGTAGGCTACGTGGTTGCGGTCCGCGAGACGATAGTCACCAGTGGTGAGAGACCTTGAACGACATGAATCAAAATCGTTTTCAATGGCGCTAGTGCACCCATTCATTGAGATCTCTCAAATCCTAATCTTCTGTGTTAGTTAACACTTCTACCTTTGTCTTTATAACCTTATTTCACTGAATTATACTTCTTGAATAATATCTTCAAACCTAGTCTTCTTTATTATTATTAATACCTCTACTATTTTTATCACTATGGGATTTGATTTGACATTTTCGTTTCTGTGCTAATGTGGCATGGCAAAATGAACTTATGTACATACGTATGAAGTTCTACCTTGCAACTGACTGACTGACTGAGGTATGCTATTTTACAGGCTAGATCAAATTGTCACAAATGCTTACACATTTACTGCAAAAGTTATCGCAGTTAAATTAAGTATAAGAGTCAGTTTCTGGTAGTAAATTTACACCGTGACACTGACAGCAATATTATGACACAGTCACATTTTCAATAGGAGAGTACAAATAGGGAAGGTGCACAGTAGGTTTCTTGAGCGGTTTGCTGAGATCAATAGTAAAGTTTTTGGGAAAGGTCACTTAGATAGTGCTTGATACAAGCTGTGATCCAGACAGTCAAGTACATAGGGTACATGTTCCCTAGAGGCGCTATGGGTTTTTCACCGTGAACGGGGTCCTGAAAAGGGAGAAAAGAGAGAAAAAAACAGACAGCAACATGGCAAGTGTACATATATAACCAAAGGACTACTTAACCTGTCATGTTGAAATAGTCAATACAGTGGTACGTCAAGGTAAAAATCATACTGTCCACTAAAGTTAAAGTAAATCTTGGGAATATGAGAATATAACCTAAAAATGTAGGAGTACAGAAATGAAGAAGGAAGAGTTGTAGATAGTGTCAAGTGAATAGAAGAGAAGTTGAAACAAGAAGCTGGATTTGTGAACGTAGAAATCGAAATTTCAGTTAAAAGAGTAGAGACTGTAAAAAAATATTGATAATTAAAAAATTTTCACTGTCTAATTTTTTTTTTATTAAATGCCAACCTCTAAATGATACTGTAAGCGCCTGAGTAAGCGTGTTGAGGGCGTCTTGACAGAATAGCGACCTCAGCATAGTTTAGGAAACATGAGCCTTAGAAGTAGAAAGCGTAAAAGAGCAACCTCAGTATGACTGATTAGTCGCCTTATCAATCTAAAGAACCGAAAGCAAACAAAATCTTCTGCCCAACAAACATAGGTGGTTTGAAGTCATCGCCCACACCATCAATCTTTGCTGGTCAGTAACGCCACCCTTCCTCCTTTTGTGTTGTCAGGCTCATGTTAATTGTTTAAAAGAAACTATTTTTTGTTCTACTTGGTGCTCTGTCTCACATCCTGTTAAGAAACACTATTTCTGCAAATTCCTTTCACAGTCTTGTCTGGCTGTTACAACTTATGAACTATTGGTTAGGCATCAGTGCAATACAGTTAACAGTTATGGAGAAAAGTACGGATTTTCAAACAAGATATCAGCATTTAGAATGTAGTGGAGGAGATGTACTTAACTAGCTAAGCAGGAGATTTAAGGAGTATCACGGTTAAAAGTGGAGCTATAGATAACACTAAGGGATCATGGTAAGTCAATAGCGTGTAAGTGAGAACAGTATAATTGATAATAGGCAATATGAAACTCATACGGTTGTAAGTGTTGATAAAGCTGTGCCCAGGAAAGTAGAGTACGTTCTAATCAACCATTTTACAATTGAACAGTGTCGATCGACCCAGTGAGTAGAAGAAGAGTTAGTGGAACTGAGAGCTTCATTAAGTAGTTGTACAAACTCATGTAACCCACTTGCCATGCGTATTTTTGAAGGAAGCTTATTCCATATAAGTGCATACTTAGTGAGGAAGAATTTTTTTCGAGTTTTGGATCTATACTTCTCAAGTTTGACCGTAGATACTTTATCTCGAAGGTTATTTATACATGGACCTTGGATAAGGACTAAACTACAAGAGGAGTATGTGAGCTTGTTTAGGAGTTTAAAGTAAAGGATCAGATTGAACTTAAGCCTTCTTTTCCACAATGGAACAAGCCCAAGTTCATTACATCGAGTCGGATAGTCAATGAGTGAGCTATGATTTAGGACTTTTCGAGTAAAACTCCTTTGTATTCCTTCAAGCTTCAGTATATCAGACAGGCGTAAGTTAGAAAATAAGAAAGAGAAGTATTCAGCAATAGGTCTAGCACATGTTTTGTAGAGAATTGTTCTGGATTCTTTATGAAGGAAGTTACGAAAGATGAAACCAAGCATTCTTCTCATTCGGGAAACTTTATTGAGGATATGTTAAAGAACGTAGATTAGGAGTGTCTGTTTCTGATAGAACATTTACACCATGCGACTAACAAGAACAGTTTGATACAGGCCTATCTTCGATAAGCGAGTACAAATATGGTAGGTACACAGTATAGTTCCTGGGTGGTTCGCATAATTCAGAAGTGAATTTGCCAGTAAATATCATTTGAAAAGCGCTCGATACAATCTGTGACTCAGACGTGCCCGTACATGTGTATATTGCGTGGAGGTAGTATAGATGTTCCAATGAAAATAGGGTGCTGAGAAGGGACTGAAGGGATAATTCTATATATGCATAACCAGAGAACCACCTAACGTTCCATGGAGAAATAGACGATTTAGTGGTCAGTCAAGGTGAAATTCATACAGGCAAATAAAATTTAAGTAAAGTGTAATAATATAGCCACCAAACGAAGAAGTACGGGTTGCGTAGTGTATCAAGTGGATGGAAGAGAAGTGCTGTCCTATCCACGTTATCAAATGCTTTTTCGTACTCAGTGAAGTTGATATAAAGTGGTGAATCCAATTCAGTTGCTTGTTCCACATTGATCCGCAACGTTGAAATTTGGTCAGTACACGATCGATCCTCACGAAATTCAGCATGTTGATCTCGAAGTTGGTCGCCCAAGAAGTCCTTCATTCTCTTTAAAAACACCCTGTTGAAGACTCTGCCTGTTATTAAGAGTGGAATGATGCCTCTGTCGTTCTCACACTTGCTGAGATCGACTTTCTTTGGTATTTTGATGAGTTATCCTCCTTTCCAATCTGATGGTACTTGTTCCTCATCCCAAATCTTCTTGAAGAGGATGTGAAATATTTTCGTAGTTGTTTCCACATCTGCTTTCATTGCCTCTGCTGGAATGTTGTCTGGTCCTGCTGATTTGCCACTCTTCACTTGTCTGATGGACATGCTGATTTCCTCAATTGTGGGTGCCCCAACATCAATTTGGAGGTCCGTGGATGCTGCTTCGATGTTGGGTGTGTTCAGTGGAGCTGGTCGATTCAAAAGTCCGTTAAATTGCTCTACCCACCTGAATTAGGGTCCGTATTGAAAATAGTTCTTCTAAGTGTCTTATAGAATCGTCGAATAAACAGATGAATTCACTGTGTTTCCGTTTATACTGATCGCAATTGACCTACAAGCTAAATACGCTATTATTGATGAGTGACATTTGTCCGACCGTACAAAGTAAATGGATGGTGTGAAACCTTTAGCGTTGTTTTCATACTTGCGTATAGATGAAGAGAAATTACACAACTAATTATTTGTTGTTGTGCAAAAAATGCTGTGAACTGAAACTCCCAGTAAAGTACAGAGATGGTGTAAATATTAGTCAGTCTAGGTTATTTATAAATTATCAAGTACAATCTGTTTGTTTTACCACTGCAGTTTTCTCAACTCTCAAGTTGGGTTCCTTTCAAAAGGCGAAATCGTTCGGATAGTCCAAACCTAATATACATGTTATATAGTTTGACATGTTCGGTCTATGTAAGTTTCACAGTTATATGAACTGTACAGAAAGCTGTGTGTCTCAAAGATTTGCAGCAGATAAAACTTAAGTGACTTTATATCAGAATATTATCATGATATTGGGATCATATATCCTTTGATCATTTGGCTTTTATAGTGAGCATATGCATTTTATTGTTAAAGTTTTATATCCAATAAGCCAGGTCGTGTCCGGTCCATCTCACCGGCAGGACAACAATGTGGTTGGTGTGTAGACAGAATACTTCTTAGTAAATATAATTAGGCATCACTTGATTTTAACATGAACTGTAATCATAATTTCGCATACAAAGCATATCTCTTATAATTGCTACCCTAATCTCTCATTTTCGGAGGAACATTGATTGAATCCAGGTAAATTTCTCCACAATGCCACTAAAATGTTTCGATTGCATGTTACGTAGCACCCTTCCGGGTTTTTTTTCGAAAAATTTTCTAGTTTGATTATTTTCTGAATACTCCCTATTATCAGTAGGTTTGGCTCAAGTCCAAACTTCATAAGGCTTATAGATATTCAATGCTGCCCCCTAATTATTACCAAGATAGAATGACGTAAATCGCAAGTTAGAGGGTATGACAGTCATACTCACACTGATTTGTTTCAACGTTGACTATGTTTATTAAACTGTCAAACAGCGATAAAGGGCTTTACTGGTCTCCTGGAAAGTCTTACGATGATTTTTTACAGAACTTTACTGTCAATGGAGTACTGTTGATTCTCATTTGGTACATTAATTTATTGATTCAATCTTTAGCTCGACATCGATTTCGAAAATTTCCAGCTGTTGGACATAAATGAGGGGCTTGTTAAAGACATTTCTGAGTTTCTTAAGCTATTTCAAAGGATTTGATTGTGACCTGTGCTCTTACGAGTATGAGAGTAGTTGTAACATCCCGGCTGAACACCGTGGAAGGACTGTATTTTGCTGATGTCACAGTTCTACCGGGTGAAGATGCTGACAACATCCAGTCTTCTGGCTACCATAAGCAAGAATGCAAGCATGTTCGGGATACGATTCTCCCCGTCGAAATTCAAAACTATGCTTTAGGATTGGATTGCATGGGGAATCGATTTAGTGATAGAGAGTGAAACAGCTACGTTGAGTCATGTCGGTAGATTTAGACTGCCTGGTTGGGGCTAGCGAGGTGATAGTAATCGATAATTAGAGACCCTGAATGACATGGCTCAAAACCGTTTGCAGTGGCGCCGGTACATCCATTCGTCGTGTTCTCTCAAATCTTAGCCTTCTGAATTCCTCGTTACATCTATATTTTTCTTATCGCCACGACTAACTCTACTCATATTCCTTTATCTCACTGCACCGCTAATGCAAACGATGTGAGTTCACAAAACTTTATTCTTGGCCTCGTGAAACCACGTTCTAGACTACATGTTGCAGCATTTAATGTACGGTTATTGTACCAAATAGGGCAACAGGCTTCACTAGCTAGGACATTAGAATCTCACGCCATCAACGTGTGCTGCGTATCGGAAACGCGCATACAGGATCCTAGTACAGTCATTAATTTGATTTCATCCTGTCAAAATAAAGAAGCAACTCGATTTACTCTTCGTGTATCCAAAAGCCCTAATGCTTCTTCCCGGTGTCTCGCTGGCGTAGGTATAGCATTGAGTCGTAGGGCTGAACTGTCTCTCCTAGACTGGATCCCAGCAGATAGTCACTTGTGCTCTGTCGGACTAAACGGGACATTAAGGACTCGGAAAGATAGGGACACCCGTCGTTGCCTCTTCGTCATATCTGCCTACCCTCCCACTTACTGTAGTTCAGACGAGGTGAAATATGAGTTCTAAAGAAAGCTTTCGGACCTCCTCCAAAAAGCTAGGCGCTCAGATATAGTAATAATAGCTGGTGACTTTAATGCTCAAGTAGGTAGACTAAGTGAAAATGGAAGACACCTGGGTGGATGTTATGGTGTCGCGGCACAGAGAATAGATAATGGCGACCGTCTATTGCAACTTTGCTCAGATAACCGCATATTTCTAGCAAACACTAACTTAAGGCATAAGGAAAAGCATCTTTTGACCTGGCGAACCCCAAACTCGTCTCGACGCTGGACTCAACTAGATCGCATTGCCATCAGCCACCGAAGGACGGATTCAATAGAAGACAGTCGCTCGTTGTGGGGCACATGTTTAGATTCAGATCATGCCTTAGTGCGAGCGCATATTTTTTTGAGACTTACTAGACGTAGCAATGACACCGCAAAGGAACCTCTTAGGGTTCTACTTAATGATAGCATAGCTAAGAATATATTTCAGAAGCAACTAGAAGGACAATTAGGCGATCATGTGGGCGGTTCCCATCCGGAGGTATCATGGAATGATATCCAAAAAGCTGTGGAAACGGCAGTGGTATCTGATAGTAAGGTGAACCATTAGTCTAAGAAGAAGCGGTGGATCTCATAAGCATCCACCGATCTGATAGCCGCTCGTAAACTCATCCCACCTGGCTCTGAACATGATGAAGAGCGAAGTCAGCTTAGACGCAGGCTGATAAAAAAGCCTATGCAATGTTCGAGAACAGTGGTGGGTGGCGAAAGCAAGAGAGATGGAAAAGGCAGAGGCGATAGGCAACAGTAGACAGTTGTTCCGCCTTATAAAGGAAATCGGTGTTAGAAATCCAACTGTTAGAGAAACTATCTCACGGAGGGATGGTTTTATAATTAGTTCTCAATCCAGAAGATTGGATCGATGGAAAGAACACTTTAGGGATCAGTTCAACTGGCCTTCAGCCACACTTCAGTTGCCGACGATCTTCATTCAACCTGAAGTTCTACGTTGCTATTGATTGATTGACTATGTTTTTCTAAGTTTATTTCACTAGATTCTACTTTTTGAATAATATCTTCGAACCCTAATCTCCGATTACTGCTAATAATTCTACTACCTGTACCACTATGGGATTTGAATTGACAGTTGCGTCTCTGTGCTAATGTGGTATGGCAACCTGAATCCCGACCGTTGCTGCTAACTTGACGTAGTTGTCGGGCTTGCCTAGTCTCAATCGCTGATTGTCCCAATTTACAAGAAAGGACAAAGGTTCTCCTGTGACAATCACAGAGGAATCAGTTTGACTAATATAGTGTCGAAAATATTGTCTTAAATAATACTTCGACGCCTAACTAGAGCTTGTGAAGAGCAGACTAGGGGAAACCAGGCTGGCTTCAGACCCGGACGTGGCTGTATTGACCACATCTTCACACTACGTCAGGTCCTAGGACAAAGACACGTTCAGACGTCCCACAATAGTAGTATTTCTCGACATTAAGGCGGCATTCGACTCTGTCGATCTTGAACTTCTGTGGCAGTGTCTGTCATTAAAAGATGTACCGAGGAAGTACATTAACCTTATACAGGCTCTCTACTCGAGTAAGAGCTTATGGCGAACTGTAACCAGAATAAATTACTTCACGTGGTGTCCGTCAGTGCTGTCCTTTTTTCCCATTCTTGTTTGACTTTGTTATAGACATGCATTTTAGATACCACTCTTTCATCAGCTGACTGTTCAGGAGTTGAACCTTTATCAGTAGATTCACTTGCTGACTTAGAATATACAGATAATATAGTCTTATTTGGTGAATACACTGACAAAATGCACTCTCCTGACCATCCCAAGCAACAATCCAAGCGTGTTCGGGATGCAATTCTCCACGTCGGAATTTAAAATGTTGCTTCAAGATTGGGTTGCATCTTCACTTAAACTTGTGATAAGGAGTGAGGTAATTGAGCGTATTGTCTGCTTTACTAGTCTTAGGAGTCTCGTCAGCGTTGATGGCCTGGTGACTGACAAAATCTTAGCACAGATACAGAAAGCTCGACTGGCTTTTGCCACCTTGCGCCACTTATGGCGCAGGCGAGATATCGGTTTGCTGACTAACGGACGAGTGTACTGTGCAGAAGTTGACTCTATCCTACTATATGGCTGTGAAACATGGCAGGTAAGAGTAGATTTTCGTAGGTCATTAGTATTTGATTTTAGATGTCTTCGGAGGATTGCTCGTATATCCTTCGACAACCGAGTAAGCAATGCTGTCGTAATGAAACGAGTACTTGGTCGGGATGTCTGATCAATCGATGAAGTGTTGAAACTTCATCAGTTGAGTTGGTTGGGACAAGTATCACGTATGCCTAAGCACCGACTGCCGCGACGAGCTATGCTTTATGGTGAAGGAGTAGGTTGGAAGAAAGTTAGGGGGCGGCCAAACCGAAACATGGCACAAATCCATGAAATCACTAACAAGTGAACAGAGTCATGTTGGTAGATGTAGGCTACCTGGTTTGGGTCCGCGAGACGAAAGTCACCAATGGTTAGAGACCTTGAATAACATGGCTCAAAATCGTTTGCAATGGCGCTGGTGCATCCACTCTCTGTGTTCTCTCAAATTCTGACCTTCAGAATTCCCCGTCATCTCTCTATTTCTCTTCCTAAATTTGTCTACTTGAATACTATCTTCAAATCCTAATCTTCTCCATTAGCAGTAGTTCTTCTACTATCTCTATCACTATGGGATTTGAATTAACAATTGCGTCTGTGTGCTAGTGTGATATGGCGACATGAACTGATGTACTTACGTACGAATCCTACGTTGTAATTGACTGACTGACTGATTCGTTCAGTTTAAGCTTAATACGTTTTTAGTCATGTAAAACACAAGGAAAAGCTACTTTTAGACTTTCTTGACATCTATCGAGAGGTAGAATTGCTGTAGTTGTACTTCTTCTACATACTCTGGTACAGGAGAACTTTTGTCTTTTCTTGTAAATTGGGACAACCAGCCATTGAGACTAGGCAAGCCCGACAACTACGTCAAGGTGGCTATCCGAGGGAAACGCCTGACACACCGCTGTACAGTCGGTAGTAAGACTTCTCCCTCAGACCTTGAGTAGCTGCTTTTGGTCTCATCGTTCTCCAATCAATCTGCCTGGCATGGTAGAACCTTCAGAAATACATGTTCTAGCCAATATAGCTCGGTTGGGTTATCACGATAGGCAATCTGGACCATTACGTCAAGATAGCGGCTACTGTCCGAAAATTGAACGGGTAATTACCTATTTGCCTTATTGTATGACAGACCTCAGATTGTTGCATGCTAGGCTCTGTGTACATGACGGCAAAATCACTACTATTAACTACGTTTATTTTTCAAAATCGTCAGCAGAAATTATATTATGATATAGACAACGATGACCTGACAGCTGGCTACTGGAATACAAAAGTAATGAAAGCAAGTGATTTTGAATATAACGCATATAGTCTGAGTCAAGCTAAAGCATTCAGGCCGAATATTTAACATCCAGGTCTGGTTCGCATGTAGCATCTCACCATTCATTCATTGTACTTCAATTAATAGTCGTTTAAATTATTCGCTAATAGTATCGAGTCCAGTCACGAGCCACTAAAAGCAAATAATTGCTATCACCTGCTTCAATTATCCTTGTACAGGTAGTTATCTCTATCAAGTTTCTGCTTCAAACACAAAAATTATGTAGTTTGTTTTAGGGACTCCGTGGATCAAATCAACAAGAGACACTTTGTCTTTGTGAAAAATCACTACTCTATCTCGTTCACTTCCGTTAACCCTCTTTCTTTACAATGAGACAATACACATAGAATACGTCAGAAGTTCTGTTTTCTACCTATTAAAGTATGACAAAAGTTTTCTATGATAATGTTATTTTATCATCGTTATTATCATTTTATTATTTTAGCATTATCGAAATTCCGTCCTATTTATTTGTAATTTTACTTTATTCATTTTCGTCATTGTTCCAGCTCCTATTTTATTCTTTGATTATTTCTTTTAAAACATCATTGGACAAGATCTTGACAAAAATATGACTCAGCATGTACGGTTTCTGAAACCTCTTTCTTTTCTTTCTCATGTTCTGAAAGATATAGCTGTATTCAACCGATCATTCAGAGCTCTATTAAATATTCTGTACTGCATATTACATGACCCTTGTCTCACTACTTAAATCTAGATTCACAAGATTTTTTGTTACTTTCTAGCTTCATTAAAGTTAAGATATTGCTTATTCCTTTTTTTCTTTAGATGAAAAGCCAAATTACCCTGATGTATATTTTAAAATACACGAACCTGATCCGAATGGTTCTTTTTTCAGTAGTTATTTAAATAAACAGTCTGTCATTTCTGATCCAGAGGTGAGTATCTGTTGCACATAAGAATACATAGCCATTAATCGTGATTTATTATTTGTATATTATTTTTGCTAATAGCGGCATTTTTTATGGGACGTTATAATAATTAGATTTCCCCTTTATGCTGTTTAAAGCGAGTAACATCATAAAAACAGTCTGCTTGCATTTATCTGTATTTATTGTCGGCCCACCATTAAGTATTTTATAGGCAGTATAAACTTGATATCCACTAATTGGTTTTTAGTTCTAACTAATACCCCGATAATCGGTTTATTAGTCACTGATTTCTAGAATATTGTGGTACGTCGTGCTAGCTCGTTATCTTAAAGATGTTAAAAATATACTAATTTGCAATAGACATCGTGATGACATGAAATCGATAATCATCTCGCTGTTCTCGAAATGTGATGCCAGCTCAATAATAGCTTAATGTAATCTATCCAAGGACAGGAAATGGTGAAAGTATATATACGTCGAAGTACTTGGATGTTAGAACAACGATTTTTCCTACATCATTATGCTGTTCGAATACTTGAGAAACTTAACTAAATTGTATCATTTCAATTTCATATTATTTACATTCAAGATTCGATTACTGGACAACAAATAAACTAATATCAGACGAATCCCATAAGAATGAAATTTCGTAAAATGTTTTCGGGGTGTTAATTAGACTTATTCACTCAAACGTTATGAGTTATGAGTTTCCTGAAATTTCATAAATACTTCTGACTTTCAAGCAAAGATATTTTAGTAAGGTCATTCGAGGTATTAGTTAGAATTGGCAGGCTAGATTATATTATAAATATCACTTGTAAACAATGGCTATGTAGTTTTAATTTATTTTTAGAACTCCGTTTGGAATTCGAGAGAATCGATGACTAAGTGATGTGACCAGATCTTTCTGATTCCTCAGTTTGGCTAATTTTTAACCGTTATTAGGAGGTAGTGAAAGTGAAATATAAAATGCATAATATTTCTCAGATAAATGTGCTTAACAACTGTTTAACGAAATGATCAATAATGTTTTTTCGAGTTTTACGGCTGATCAGTTTTCTGAAGATACTTTAATGACCCATAATCTGACCCATAGTTGGACGAACGATTGAATAAGCTATGAAATAAATCTTTCATTTATTTTCCGTATGTCATGCTTAGGCGAATTCGGTTTGTGCGACGACAGTAATAAGAAGCCTAATACGAAATCAGTTGGATGGGTTTATTTCAAGCAATCGTTCACGCAGACAGACATGAGAATACAAAGCGTAAAAGCTAAGCAAAGCGAAATGAAGAAGGCTGGTGAGCGAACTCAATGTGATTAAGCATGGCTAAGTATTTACAGTCAGACAGAAGTAGGCCGGACATGTAATAAATAAAGTATGCTCACACCTGCACTCAAATAAAAACAATCAAGGACATGGGAGAACAATAGGTAGGGTCAAACGGTATGTGAATAAATCGAGAATAACAAATGAATTAATTTGTCCACCGGCTCAGACACCCTGTAAGCTCAACATATTTGTACACACTGCAATAGGATTAGGGTAAATACTTTGTTTGTGTATAAATCGTAGTGCTTTTGAATACATCCGTTCACTTCTGTTTACTTTTCATGTTTTTTTTCATCTTGGTTTATTACAGTCAACTTTTATTTCCTCTCCTTGTAGACTGGTGCACGTAAGAGTAGCATGGTTTTGAGCAATGATGAATATCCACAAGTTAAAACGATGATGGAATTGTTCCATAGAGGACTATCTTTATCCTGTAGGTTGTTGTTGATAAGCTCGCTTCTGTTGAGAATTAATACGCAATTAGTTGTTTTTCAACTTCTCTCGACCATAGTTGGTGTGTATCAGTTAATTTATATGCCACTTGTTGATACGTTTGTCAGTTTCAACAACCACTGGTTAGTACGTAACTCCCAACTGTCTGAAAATACTTACTGAATGTGCACCGGATAACCCGAGAAATCCGAATTTACTTAATAAATTATTTAACTCATTAGTTAGGAACACATTTTTGTACTCACTCTTGAGCCTTATCGTTTTCGTTAGGGTTAGTGACTACTATTTAGCCCACGTCAAAGAACGTTTAAAGCTGTAACTTTATGGTTGAGAGTTAAGCGCTTTTTCCACTCATCCACTGTTTGTTACAAAAGACCCCTATTGGTATAGCTGTAAAAACTATAAATGATAACTCGCTATGTGTACTAGCTTAAATATTTCAAAACTGTACAATTTGTAAGTCATGTACAAAAGGTTGAAACGACTCGTAAGGCATCAAGTAATAAATAAAATAATTATCATAAGATAAATTGTGTGAATAAAATGCATAGCGAGAAAATTTCTTCTCACTAGGGGAGGTAATAATCCTTAATGTCGTGTGAATACAAAATGTGCGCATCCACGACTCCTGCATCTCGCAGGGATTCGAAATCAGGACCTTCAGTCATGCGTGCGAACGCCTAATGAAACGGCCGGCCAGTGCTTCCAGGTTCCTAATGGTGGTCTAACATTGATCGATTCATGATTTCAGTAAGTAACTCAACAATCTGTACAACCCCATAATGCAACTTATTTAGCATACTAGTGTCGAGCTCTGTAAGGAATCTTCTCCGGGCTCTAGTGAGAAGTCGTGACTAGTGAAGTTAAATCCTGTTCGGGTGCAGGAGTTGTGGACGCACACTGCTGATGAGTCACATACCAGGATGAAATGGCCATCCAGTGCCTCCAGGTTTCTAATGGTGGTCTAACATTGACTGATTCATGATTTCAATAAGTAACTCAACAATCTCCACAATCACATAATGCAAATATAATATGTGATAAGAGATAAGAAATTTATATAAATTGGGAAAGATTACATTAAAGATTAGGAACGTAGGGTAGACATATATACAAAATGAATTAAACTGGGGTAACGAGTTTACAATGCCCGATTTACGTATATGGTTATCCAGCCGTGGACTGAGGTAAACACAAGTTAAACGCACCTCTTTTGAAATATATAAGTTAAGTTTTCTGCAGTTGATCCAGTCGGCTTCACCTATGTGGAGAAGTCGTTATCTGGCTCAAATTTTTTATTTTAGAATATTCTATGAGGACTTTTAAGCTGCTGACATCTATATCTGGCTAGGTATTTTTTAGGTAAGCTGCTTATGCCTGTGAATCAAAAATGAAGTTTATTACATTTTACTCTTTATCTTCAGGTTCAAAACCGTGTTTAGGCAGCAGATATACCACAAATGAGCCGTATTCGTGGATTACTTATCAAGAAGTCTTTTAAAATAGTGTCTAATCCATAATATCTTTTCAAGGTCGATGAAAAAATTCAAGCGTTTGGATCAGCGCTTGTTGAAATTATAAATCAGTATCCAGAGTCAGAAAGGTTTGTAGGTGTGTATGGTCGAAATTCAACACAGGTTTGTAAATTGTCTTGATATAAGCAATTTTCATATCGAATCAGTTTTGTGCTGTTTTTGTAAGTGTGGGTCATACAATAAGTCGACAAATAGGCCTTTGTTTAATAATAGTTGTAGTTACAATACACTTTAAGTTAATAAGTGTCCGTCGGTAACTTCAGCAATTCAGTATGGTGGAGTTTCGTTCTCTGAGGTGGGTGTTTTGGTTGTGGAGCTTTCATTGCTCTTCTGAACAACATCAGTAGCACAAACGTCAGATAGGAGTGAAGCATTCAGAATTCTCCGCGTATAACCCGTAATTTTTCCTGTTAACCTCGATCTTCATTGGTTGTTGTTGACCTTAGAGCCGTCGTCGTTTGCACCTTTATTTTGATTGCGTCCCCCTTTTGATCTCTTTCTTGATCCTATGTCACCTATGATTTTTCTGAATGGTTGATAATTTGAGTCACAGTTGATTTGTTTGTTGGTTACTGATTGACCTGAGTTTCAAGCTTCTAACAATCCCTTAGTGTTCTTCGTGCTCTTCCTATCGAGTACTTCAACAGTGTTCCTATCGACTGTATGTTCCTGATTGTCTGTAGTGAATGTTTTTCACACAAAATCAACTACGTACAAACGTTGTTCAAGAGACACTGCAGCACACGTGAAGCCCAAAAAAAACGGAGAAAAATATCTGATAACTATCTTCTTCCAAAATAATGACTATCCACGCAACTTCATCAAAAAAACAACTGAAAACGTCAACGGAAGCGAAATCAAGTGCAGGAACCAGTAAACGGATCATTCTACCCTACATAAAGGGAATTACAGCATGACTAATGAAACCATTTGGATTAGGTGTAGCCCACAAACCAACAGAATTACTTCAATCAATTCGATGTAGACCAAAGAACAAAATAACGAAAGAAGAAAAACCAAATATCATCTTGATATGCTTGAAACTATTACGAGTTCACCTTACTCGGTGAATGATGTAGTGATGTAGTGACACCATAGGCTATTCTAATACGGTGTCCCCGGCCGGGCTAATTATATTAAGAAGACTTGATAAGGAGTAGAAAGTGTGTTCTACAAGCACCCAGAAATACGAGGTTCAAAAGCATACAAATCGAGCTTATTTATACATGATAGAAACGTCCTTAGGAGAGCCACAAAATAGCCATCAGCCAATAACAGTTGAGGATTTTCCGAATGGGAACTGTAATCTCAAGGTCGAATAAGCAGCTTATGCGCAAAAACACAAAAAATCCAAAATTAGGACCTTTTCCAAGTGAGTTCTGGGGATCTAACGTCCCCCAAAAATCTACAACATAATTGGTCAGATTGTGAAAAACACTACATGTGATATTGTTGTCTTCCTCCTCAGCTTCATCTGCATGAACATCAATTAGCAGCCGAACGCCACGATTGAAGTCATAGTTTAATATATATATATATATATATATATATATATATATATATATACGAACAGATACAGCCCATTAATGGGATTGGTTTTTACAGTTCATTTTATATATGGTGTGTGACCGATCCCATTTGGCCTCTATGTTTCAGGAGTGCTTGTCGACTTCCGAGTTCTTGATGTGTCAGTGTGATAGCTTCGCTTGGTAATGTAGTACTTCTACTTGTATATATTCACAAAATATTTTCCACTTTCAGCACACTCTTTGTAATTATTGTGATTTTAAGTTAGTGAATTCATCTTGGAGAAGAATACTTTAACTCTTATGAATAAAAGTAAAATGTACATAAACCCCTGTACACATCATGTTTTAATATTCAACTTAATGAATACTGTGAATTTTTTTCCTGGTTTTGATAAAAATTATTCAGAAGCCATTGGAGTTTGTTTGTTAACAAAATAATTTCCTTTACTACATTTCTGTTTTTTTTTGTTTATTATGAATGTATATTTCAATCAAGAAAGTTAGTCTTTTGTTAATATTAATGATGAACATTCAATTCTTGTCATGACTATTTTACTTCTTTTCATTCTAGTGGTTTATCACACAATATGCCTGTTTCTGTTACTCGTGCACTGTTGTCCCTCTGTATGCTACCTTGGGTGATGCAACTATGCAACAAATTCTAATACAAAGTAAATTTTTATTTATAAAATATATTATTATTGTAACTCTGAAAATTTTATTTTAGTTCGTTGTTGTTTATTACGACCTAGTATATATGTTATTTTTATAATACCTAATTGAAAGTCTTTTAAAATTTTGCAATATGTTGACAAAAGTATGTAATTTATTCGGAGATAAATCTAATAACATATGTTTAAAACTGTTGTACCAATTTCAAGTTAATTCTAAGATATAATATAGTATGTAGTGAACTTCTATCTGAAGTTGGTGCTGCTGATGTTGTTCAGAAGAACAATGAAAGCTCCACAACCAAAACATCCAGCTTGGAGAACGAAACACCACCACAATGTATGCACACAATACAGCATAGCCTGCATAAATAAAAAGTGCATTTAATTTGTAGCCTTAATTTTATAAATTACCGTAAGTCGTAGTAAACCTTTACTCAACTTGAAATAAACAATAGTAGACCCGTACCCGTCATCAAGCAATCGAGAGTTGAATGTTTAGAGCCTGTCAAACACAACTTTACAAAAGTTGCTGACTCATCAATAAATATATCCACTCTGTCTTTGTTGTTTATGAATAGTGATGCGAACTTCTTGCGAATTCCAGCGCTGATATTTCCTTCAGTGTTATATGTTTAGACTGATCACTATTTATCTAATGACTAGTTTTCTTATTTTTCAAAAATTTTAGCTGGCCTTATCATATTAATGTGCCATTCCGCAGATTTAGCTTTCAAAATTTTAGAGAAATTTAATTCATCATTAAAAGTTATTGTCATAGCTGTGCAGGACCAAAGTTTTGAAGATCTAAAAACCCAGTACGGTTCTTCTGTGAAAATTTATTCGTTTGACGATTTTTTGGTGAGTTTTGTTCGAAATTTCAAATATTTCAAACATTTATTAAATGTAACCAGTCAGTTAGTGAGTTGCAACGTAAGACCTGGTACGTACACACGTCAGTTCAAGTTGCCATATCCCATCAACATAAACAGATGAAATTCTCAGGCCGAATTCCAGAGTGGTGAAATGAGTAACAGTATCAGCGGTAGTAGAAATGTTCAGGGATCGAAGGTAATATTCGAGAAAATATAAGTCAGTGAATAAAAATGAAATTATGAAAAATGTAGAAACCTAGAATTTTTTCTGCTTTTGTGTGAAACAATAGAAAAATTGTTTTTTAATTTTGCACGGTAACTAATAAATCAGCATCACTGAGAATACCTTAATGAACATGTCTATTCTTGTATTCAATCGTCATCATAAGTTATTTAGAAAAATACACCTTAAGTGGTAGACAAACTCACTAACAAGTATCGAAGAAAAATATATAAGTGGGATCTCAATGAACTGTTTTGTTATTAGAGATATAAATAAATGTATATATAGCACTGTAACTTGATCGTTAACTTGATCGCAAATGATTCTTAACATTTACTGGTATCCAAAAACAAGAAATATTATGCTAACTAAATTTGTTAAATCAACAGCTGTTTGCTTTATGAAATGATACATTATCTTGAAAAACTTTATTTACGTTTCTCAATGTGAACCTAATTACATCAATTTTACGTATCAAAAGGACTAGTATTTAGTTATTTCAGCTAGCTGAAGTTCATAATCCCATTGGCTGATTAGTGCTCTAACTCAGAACCTCGTTCCCATTTCAAAAGTCTCTGGTACCGTGATTCTATGAAATGTAAATATTTATTTGGATACATTAGTAGTCGAATACACAACGATTTCTTCTGCTACACCTATCATGTATGGCTGTCATTGATTGAAACGGATGAAGTTTTGTTTCAGTAAATTTGTCCACTGTAGTTTGTTAGATAGATAGCTCATCGGAAAAGGAAGCAAAATTTGAATGTTGATTGTTTCTCAAAGAAAACAAACAATAACTTCTTTCCGACTGTTAATGGCTCTGAAAAAGCATTTCTTCCTGTAAAGAAAAAGATGATAAAATTAAGATAATTAACAATTGCGTCATTACATTTCCCATAGTTTATAATGTTTTAATTGAAGTATGGTAGAATGTTTTCAAGAACTTGTTTACTTATTCTCTTACCTGATACTTTCTACTATGCATCAAAGTGTTTTATGTACCGGGTGTTTTACCAATGTCTTCACTGAACGTTAAACTATTCGAAATGAGATATGTAAAGCTGAAGATATGGGCGAATACAATTTAAGAATAGTGTTAGTCTTTGGCTTAAATACTCTGAATAGGCATCAACTAAATCACAAAACAGTCAACCGGAGTTTCATTTTCGTTTGAAATAATTCGAACATACAACATCAATCAAGCCTCAATCAAGTACTTTCAGGTCTCACTATGACCGAAATGCTTAAAAAATCTACTGAATAGATAACTTGTGTTTTATTTCTTGAACTCCGACTATTTCACTGGTATATCGGAATTGAGAATCGGACAATTATCTGCTGATAGTATTGGATGACTGTAATGCTGTATTAAAAGTAAATAAGTTGAAAGTGTAAACTACTAGATTTTATCCCGGTAATTTTTATGTGATGTATTTTCCGTGATATGTGACAATCCTTGACCTTATCCCTTATCAGGGTTGTGTATGGGAACTACTGCGAAATCTTAGACTAGGATGGAATAGGTATTCAATGCTTTCTTCATTTTAAGTGATATTTCATCTTATGTGAGTTTATGAAGGAAACTATCTTCAAACTTAACATATCTTCGTAAGCCACTTAACCAAAGAATATAAGTTATTTGTCAATTCGCATTTTGAAAATATACCTAGATCTTAAAAATCAAAGGCATTATTTTTGTGGTACTGATTTACTCAAAAAAAAACAATAAGTTTTTACGTAATTGGATTATAACGTTTATCTGCTTAAATTCACGCATAAATGCCAATGAATAAATGTTAGGAATTTTTTTCTTCATTTGAAGCCGCCCAACAAGAAATATGTTCGCATCTGGTTTATTTAATTTTCATGCCGATATCTCTAAGTAGAGTGCTGAGATGAAACTAAAATATGATTGAATCTTTTACATAGAATATATATTTCAATTTGCCATTTACCAATAGTCCTCCTTGCCAACTTCTCATCCAATGTGTGTCTGGCAATTACAATGTTCGTAGTTCTCGTCGGCTATTTAAGTACATGAAATATTTAGGATTCAATTTATAAAAAGAATTAATTAACTATAAAACTTGAAAAGGCATACTGATGTAAAATACTAATAACTAGTTAATCAATGTAAAATGTATTAATTGTGTTGTTTTTATATATTCACGTTCCATGCGATTTTGGCACTCAACATATTAATGTATTTTTTTAAATGCAACTTTCTAGCCATTTCATCATCATCATCATCTGTGCTTTGTAGTTTGAATAGATTATTTTAAAAATACGAATGTCAGGTTTTTATGTTTATAAAAAAAGTGTGATTAAAATGCTAAGAAATAATGTTTTCTCCTGATCATATGTTATATATCAAATGATTTTATTATGTCACTATAACGGCGTTGAAAGTCGGCCTATTCATAACATTTTAATTCAAAAGTGAAACATGGAATACCGAAAAATCGTAATATAAGACGTGTAATATGGAGGCATGTCAGTTACTGCATACTTGTTATGCGTTCGCATATTAGATCGAAATCAAGATGTTGCTCAGTTTACATTCTCTAAGCCAATGGAATCATAGCTGAGTTCTCAAGAAAACGATCTGAATGATATTCTGGCTAGTTCATTAAGTCTCATTTTGAACATGAGACTTTTTCATTATTTATCAGTTGTAATGTAGTGTCATGAATGCTCAGATGACATATGTTTAATCTTATAAGGAGCGAAAATATCAAATTACAAAGATGTTCACTGTATGTAGCATATCTTTCATATGATCTAACTGAGAACACTACTAGATATTGTTACATCAGGAGATCGCTAGACGGATATATATTCCACCATTTATCACCCCAACATCTATGATTCATAAAATTTAGTTTTTTTTTTACAGTAAATTGATGAACGTTTTGACAGATAGATAAGTTTTGAGTTCATATAAATAACAATGTTCTATCTAATATGTGTTGACAATACGAACGTGTGAATGTACAAAAATAGTCAGTATTATGTTTCTAAAGTACACTTCTTAATTTCTTTCTAAGTTGTTTTGGCGAAGGCATGTATAAATATACTCGGAATCATTTGACCAATGAAAATTAAATTCACTACTTTTGCAACATATTCATACTCTTGTTATTTAGGCATATGGGATAATTCTATTTCCCCATTCTATTCACAGTAGAATTCTTCACTAATACGTATAGGTAAATGTAGCTGAAAACAAAGTAAAGTTTATCAAGTTATATATATATATACATATATATATATGTTTAATTTTTTCAGGATATGGGAAGAACTGCTTTGAAATCAAAAATTGTGAGTTATTGTTTTTATATTTCTGAATTTTAAAAAAATATTATGATACTTTTTGATGATCTATATACCATTCACCAAAATTTCACTCACTATGTATGTGATTGATTAATTTTCAATCTTTTACATACATATATTATCGTTTTTGTGTGGGCATGTTACCAACTTTTTATTTTGAAAATAAATTTCAAGTTTCAGAACAATTCCAAATTACTTTATGCAATCGAAACTTCTCAATTCTGTTTAAATTTCACATATCAACATTATATTTTTGCATAACACTCATGTTTTATCTGAAACTGCTCATTTTATTGAAACAAATTAACAAACAAAAGGAATTATTTTCATAGGGCAATTTAAATAAGCTGATTTTGTATCATTGTGTATTAACCAGTGAAGCTATAGATGAACAAATTCATTTAGTTTTTATTGCCAACTTTTCTTATGTATAATATACGAAATCCTTCTTCTTGCATGCTAACTCTGTCGAGTCATAGCACAGCTGATAGAACCTGCCATATTAGTGAGTTTAATAAGATTACACTTTAGGGATATTAAACTAAAATCACTGTTTCTGGATTCGTTGGATCAAATTTCACCTTAGCATAGTGGTTAAATAGTTTATGATGCATGCTGGCGAATCGCGTTTTCATGGATGTACTTTGATCTCTATCCAGTTCTAAAATAACTTATGTAATACATTAATCGACGTTTTAGTTGTCCTTTATTGCTGAACAAATCTTGTCAATCAAGTTCCAAACTGGTCACAAGCCTAAGTGACTCGACATCGTACGCACTGTATTGAGATGTTGAGTGACAATTGGAGGTCTCTAACCGTTACGTATTAACCAAATATAATCTTCTAACATATCTGGTCTACCAAACAGCTGTATTCAATACAGTATTTGAAATTAATTTTATAAATGTTTCATCTGTTTTCAAAATTAGTCTCTCTGTTGACTCGAATGCAGTTTATTTATCCTAATAATACATAATTTTGTTTTGCTTTGTAGCCTCCAAATGAGAAAGATCTATGCTTCATTTGTTATACCAGTGGTAGTACAGGTGTGTGTACATTTCGTATATTTTGTTTAGCAGTTTATAAATTCAAAATTTTTTGTCGGAATATTAAGGAAACAAAATTTAAAAACGTATTGTCAACATATTCATTCATCCATCCAAACATTAAGAACCATAATGTTTTTATTTTACATCAGGATGTTGGTTTCACAGTCTGAACATGGTGTACATATTGAAATTCATTACCTAACTTATGATTAATAACTGCCTGCTGCATTGAATTCTATCGTTTTCCAAATGTTCAGTGGCTTAAAGTTACTTTTTATTATTTAAGAAAACGTTTCGACTGATTAATTGTCAGTCACTTAGTCAAAAGCAACGTAAAACCTGGGACATAAACGTGCCACACCACATCAACACAGTAAGAATAGATTATCAAGATGAATACCAGATTAATGGTATTATGGTGGGTGCTACTCTCAAGGTGGCATATGAGTAGTAGGCAGTGGACTGTCGCTTATGAGTTGTTACCAGTGAGGAAACTGAAATGTATGGCGCTATCTGTGTATTGCAAACTAGAAGAAGTGTGAGAGAAGACAGTCAGAGGCCTGATGGAATTGCAAATGGATGTTTCAATATTAGGTGTACGTATTTTGTAAATAAACTGTGACTTCCTCTTAGTATGCATTGGTTCCATTCGGTCTTGATTTCTTCGTACGTTACAGTATTGGTTGTAGTTGAAAAAAGGATTAGGTGTAGAGAATATAATTCCAGAATAATTAATTCATATAACAATCGGTACGAAATGATTTCAAAATTCAGGATGATAAAGTGAATCCATTCACTCCATTTTTATTTATCCTGAGCCGTTACTCGACGTTTCCAACCACTGTTCATACGCATCGCGCTGATGATGGCTCGGTTCAAAGTGTCATTCTCAAATCAAATTTCAATTTCTCAAAGTACAGACTTCAGCCCAATATATGTCATCAGTCTTTCTACATAAATGCTGAGGATTGATTACTTTGAGCTACTTACCTCTTTTAAATCACAATACTTACCAGATCAGTTTTGAGCCTAAACTCTTTTGTGTTCCGTTTTTATATATATTGTCGCTAATTATAATTCAAGTTTTCCGTTGAATTCAAAACTTTAGGCTTAGCCAAGGGTGTCATGATTAGTCATGAGAATTTGATAGATACAATATGCTCTACAATAGAGTCAACGGAATCAAAGGCAAGTTACTTCAATCTAATAAAGCAATAGAAATTAGATTTTACTTTTTTTTTTCATAAACATATCTTACTAATCCTTACTCATAAATATCTTTTGTCAGTGTAATTAACAAATTGAAAGTCAAGTTTATAGACTTTAAAAGTGTTTGTGTATTGATTAGGTGAATTATTCTATTTGCTAACATTTATCGACTGGGCGCTACTGTAAATTCACTAGCCACTCTAACGCTATCGTTTGTATATGAACTCAGATAGTCGATAACTGGAAGAAACAACATTGATTATATTCGTTAGGCATTCCCTTGATATATGAGTGAAAGTATGTAGAGAGTAGGGTTGGGCTAGCCGAGATCGGGTAAATAACTTGAGAATTTTTGGAACGAATTCAAAACTAAATGCATTTATCTTCTACTACATGAAGCGATTGTTGAAAACCATAGTGTTTTGTAATCATTAAATAAAAATAATAGTGTCAAACGTATAAAATGCTCAGTTCTTGTCATATAGACTTTACAAGGTTCACAAACCAACACTATCTGTAAATTTGTTAACTTATTAATCCTGACTCTAACCCTAAATCCTTCTTGACCTTAGCATTTTCATTCTAATTCTGACATCTTAGTCCTAATCTTAAATACCTAACTGAAAACAGTGTGTAAACCCCTGAGATTAACTTTGCGTTTTTGTAAAGGGTCTATTAGTCAACTAATCTTTATTCATATGGACAAGTTTAGAAACAAAGCAACCTGTAGAATAATTTTCATGGATTTATTGATCATGTAAAATATGTTTATCCTTTGTAGTATTATTGCTTATCTTCCACAACTTATGAATTTTCTGACTGGCTAATAACTGGGTAAATTCTGTTTCGGTTGTTTTACACTCGTCACTATACCAGACTCTTATTGACCATCAGTGAAAATCATTGAAATGTCTTATCACTTAACAGTGTGTTGTATTATTCTCCTCGATTGTTTGACCTGACTTCTGCTTCCTTCAAGATGTAATAAGACCTCAGATGTCTTGTTTGATAATAATTTTGTTTTCTGAAAATTAGAATGTAAAACCTTGAATAAAATCAATAAGTTTTGTTCAAATCTGGCCGTAGATATTTACTTGTATACGCTTGTTTTATTTATATCATTCAACTTGTTAAAATACATTGGATCATACCATAAAATTGTTCAGACCGCAAAATATTTGTAAAGTCTCTTAATTAATTTTATGTTTCTACAGTTGTATTGTCGAAATTCTGTCCATTTCTCATATCTACCTTTTGCTCATATATTGGAGCAAGTTACTTCGGTAAGTTGTTTTCTTTTGGATTGTTATAGTACTTACTCACTTTTAATCATGTAGGTAATTATGTTAGATTTGTCAATGACAAACCGTTTTTCTGAAAACTTGGTGTATAACATATTCTAACCAATTCAGTTACTTGTATCGTAGTTGTAAATGTTTGTAGTCATGCTAAGATTCATTTAGGTCTCTACTGTGTTAAACTGAAAACCAACAATATACTTCCAGACTAGTCAAAATTTATTAAAATTCGACTTTTACAAAATACTTCATTTTATGGATTAAGGTAGCAACATTCTGTCTATTCTCATGCATTATTAAAGCTAATTTCTATAGCTTGTCTTCTGTTTCACTATAATTCAAAGTCTCTTTGAAGTTTATCTGATGCTTCATATATAACATCGATAGTGTTTAAATTAGCCTAGAAGGTAGATTAGTGTTGAGGCTTATCATTGATTAAGTCGTCTTCATTTCGATTTTTAATTAGTGTTATCTGACTGAAAAGTTGTTTGTTTATGACTGACCAATCGATAAACCGACTCATAGTTATACTATTTCAGTCTGATATTTTTAATGTGAATAAAAGCTATAGGTATTTAATGTTGTTTTGTCTAGTTAGTATCTTTTAATCGCTATTAAGTTGAGATGTAGAACTTGTTCCGTGTGAAGAAAAAAAAAACTAACTCAATCACGTTGTTTAGTTTGATCAGTCAATTGTTTCGTTTTGACGTAGATGATATCTATGATTGATTAATTTAAGATTATTCCTTCAACCTAATTGAAGTTTATTAGGTAAACAATTTTTTAACAGGTACTTGTTGAAAATAGAAGGCCATTCCTGATTCACTGTGCACTTTTTATCTTCTAGTCCACTCTTATATTTTTCTTGATTAATTAGGAATCAATCAACTATGTTTGTTAACAGATTGTTTGACCAGCTGGAACCATTTGTTCAGATATTCACACTATGATGTCTGTATAGTTAATATTTAAGAACAGAATGCTATAAAAAATTCTAATTTCCAGTGAATTTAAAACTATACAAATAATTTTTATCTTTGATTCAATAGCACCGGACTGTAGTAGATATTGTTAAACAAAATTGCGAGCATTACCGTTTTTTGTTGTAGAGTATGTACTGTTTAATCAAAAAATCATCATATTTTTATCAGTGAGCTACAACTAAATGAAACCTATGCAAAATACTGTTCCGTGTACACGTATTCAATCGATTGTCAGCCTACTATCACAATGATTTTTTATTTCGAAAAGAAAAATTCACAAAATGTTTGAAATTCCATGACAGTAAATTGCTTGTATAGATTGGATGTTATAAAATTATTTATCGTATGATTGGTAAACTTTCAACGTGATAGAGATACAATGGCAAGAGTGTGTGATTTTCAAATGAAACGGCTTATTTTTCGGAACGTTATGTATACCTGATTAAAGCACCTGATTTGTAATCGGAAAAGATTATTTGACTTACTTTTCATATCTTTTTCTTTTGTTTCACTTACATCTAACAAACGGATGTATGTTTTGTTAGAGTGTCTAGGAATTTTCAGCTACTAAAAGATCGAATGATTTTCAGCTGTGATGTCTTGAAATAAAAACTCACTATTTATCTTTTTATTGGCAACCTAATTGTTTATTTGATTACTAAATATTTATTTTACCGCATAAATCCTAGTCTAACAGGCCATTTAGAATGCTTTAAACAAATGAAGTAATCGAGAGAAAGACGGTCTAATCAATCAATTATGACTATATGTTATAAGTGTTCGGTTAAACATAAAAGAGAAAGACTTTATTCAGTGAAACAATCTCATCTTACACCAATGAAAAATGAAATAGAGCACTACACCTTCAAAGTAGAAATATTGGAACGTGAAATTCTTCTCTGAGTTTACTGAATCGGTTAACACAGATTCCGTGTTTATGGGCTTATATTCTAAATTATGTATGATAACGTCCTAAACCAGTGAATTTCATAATCTCTAGGACCGCAGATCACTGCATTTTCAACGAATTTTAGGATGTTCCTAGCGGATAAATACTATTTGCTTTTATATCAACTGAAATTCAGAACGTGTTATAAGATTCTCTCTACTATTTTTAATCGTGATGTTTGTCTTCTTGATTTTATAAAATATTTAGCTATTTGTTAATTCGTAGTGTAATCGTTAGTCATTTTAGCAGTGAAATCTTTTATAGCCTTGCAAGACTGCATTCATAACTTAATCGCGAACTGTTAATACCGTTATATAGTATAGATTTAGACTCAATTGGTTTTTATGTATTACCTAATAAATCAATTCTGACTTCGCATTCGGGCATACGATAAAGTCGTACAAATGTGTAGTATTAAGAACATCAAAAAATAATTGTACCTCGGAGTCTAAACACTGGCTGTCATTATTGAAAAAAACACTGTTTTTTGCCTTTGATTTCAAATTTTTCGCACTTATAGGCTGCTGCTATATATTGTGGAGCACAAATCGGCTTCTTGACTGGAGCAATTACTGGCTTATTAGATGATGCTGAGGCTCTGAAACCTACTGTACTTCCGGCGGTTCCACGTGTCTTGTCGCGTATATATGAAAGATATCAGAATGCACTTGGTAATTCAGTTATAAAAAGATATTTGTATAACTATACGCTCAAAAGGAATTTGAAGGTTTTAAATAGGTGAGCGAAGGATTTGTTTTTTTTTAAATTTTACTAACTGGAAGCCTACTTATGTTGTTACCCATTAGACTTTAATCCTAGACTGGAAGAATAAGTTGAAACTTATCATTTCATTATTGATTTCCTAATAGTGTGCAACCGTAAAGATGAGCTCATTAAAAAAGGTTATTTCTTCACAGGAACAGTTGTTTCTGCGATCAACTGTTTAATTTGCTTCTAAAAACAGTTCATTTTAGAAATAATTATTTTCTAATTTTTTATGTTATTATTTACGTAAATGGTCCTGACTGATTGGAACTATGAGCTTACTTATGCTAGACAAGTTCGCTTAATTGGTTAACATTGATTACGTCGATCTTAATTATATAATGAAGGCCTTTGGAAGATTAATATCTTTTTTACTACTCTCGTTTTCTCCTTTTTAGTGGGAAAGTTAATCGTGATGATATTCTTGATACACTTTTTTTCAAGAAGCTCCGGCAAGCTCTTGGTGGAAGAATATGTATGATAATTACTGGAGGTGCACCACTTTCAGCGGAGCTGTTCAACTTTTTTCGAGCTGCATTCAACGGTCTTGTGAGTTATTTCAGTTAATCTAACTTAAAATTTTTGTAGTCGGATTCTCTCTATTGAAGTTGGGAAACTTTCCCACCATACTTTTGTTTCAACCGTAAAATGTGTTCACTCACCAAAATCTTCTTCAATCTTACGAGACTGCTTTTATCTATGGACATCTAAAAGTACTTGATATTACTGGATATCCTCGTTATAAAAAATGAGTGACTATTATAAATGTAAACATTTCCTTAACTAGATAGTATTATCAAGGTATTTCTTCAGTATTGTGTAGTAGGAAGCTGTGACCACTAAAGTCAACTGAAATCGAAATAAGAACAAATTAATTTCAATTACGTTGGGTGATGAAGTTCATGGTTAACAAATCCTAAATTTGACGCATTAAATTTTAATCTATTAATTGAATAATTATCTGTTTAGTACCCGTAGTATCCTTAAACAGAATGAACAATATCTGATCGAATTATATCAGTCGATGTTGAAAATAATCTATCGACAAAAGATTTCTCCATATACTCCGTATAAGTGATACGTTTATAAAGATATATCCATTCTCGCAAAAAAGCAGCAAGAGGCAATTCTTTTTTGCACACTTTTTATAGTTGTTTCTCTACATTATTTCCTCTATCAGTATTATTAGAAAAAACTTAAAACCTCACTCTGTAGTTTCTCATGCATACAATGAAGAATAGACCACTGATTAAAATGAGTCAGTCACTTTGAAAGTCAACTTCGACATGTCAATTTGTATTAAACTTCTCCATCTGCTATTAACTCTAACCCGAATATAAAGTTTTATCGATAATGAATGGTACAGTGATGTTTAATTGTCAATTATTGAAATATAATCACTTCATTCATTTAATATTTGGTGATCAGTGTTATTTTTGCCTGTAAAACATTTTTTTCAATAGAGTATCCATTTACAGAATTAATTTTCTGAGTGAATTAGTCATTCTGATAAGCAAATAAGCTGAAAAATTACCTGAAGAAGACCATCTCTTCTATTTAATCTGAAACACAAGAATTCCCCGTAGTCACCTTGTACATTGGATAATCGTCTTCACACTTTGTCAACCCCCCTGGCTTAATAGATTAGATGCCAATTAATTGGTGTATTTGATGATATCTTTTAAATCACAAATAAATTTATTACCTCTTATCATCAGGAGAAATCGAGTAAAATTTTATGAATCATTTTGTGGATCTATAAAGTTGTGTAATTTTCGGATAGTTTTCGACGTAACACTTAAGAGTTCATGTTAATAATAATAATGATAATAACAATAATAAATTTCCTATGCAAAACAACTAGGTATTGACAGTTGGAATTAATCAATTCAGGAATCAACATCTTATTAACTGTCATTTTCTCTCTCAGTAGATTGCTAGTCACCGTGACGTTTCAGATTGCACTTTTTCAAACTTTGTGAAGCGATAGCCCGTAAACTTTGTATATACACGCTTGTATGGATTATGCGATTATTCGACGTGTAAAACGAACAGTGGGAGGTAACTTACTGAAATATTTTGATGTTAGGTATAGGTAGCCCGAATATTCAAGCAGACTACGAGAAGCCAGATTCACTTCCACCGTTTTTCTGAGTGGGGATTCATTAAAAACTAGAATTATAATTGAGATCCTATATATATATATATATATATATATATATATATATATATATATATATATATATATATATATGTCTATGGGATACCGAACATATCAATAGAAAGTTTGAGAAGTTATAGAAGAATACACAATGTTTCATCTGAATTAAAAGTAAAGTATTAAGATTGGTTAGCTTACATAAATTACTACTTATTATCAAGAGAAGCTTTGATGTAAGCATAAATACTTTAAAAAAGTGGGGCTGAATGAACTATTCGTGTTATTCTTCTGCATCTTCAATGAATGTAAGATTAAACTAGTTCCCTGAAACCTGAAGTTTTGCATCTTAGACCATGTAATAATTCGGTTGGAACTTGAATTTAAACCTAAATATTTACTGTGCAGAATGGTGGTCAATGTGGTATTTCATAAACTATACTTAGTTTGTTTTGCTTTGGGTCACATGTTCAGAATCACGAGCTTTTAACTGTGCATCGATTGATAAAGTTTTAGTGCTATACGTTTACGTTCGCTTCGTTGTTTCTGTGAGAAATACTTGCGCCGTAGAGAACAAACTCGAAACAGATTTTAAACAGGTGAAATTCATTTAAAATTATTTGGAAATAAGTAGTGTAAACGTTTTTTCGTTGTTAAATTTGTGTCATTTCCAAATTTTTCAACGCCTTTAGGCTTGCTGTAAATTGATCGAGTTCTGAAATAATTTTATTATCTGTATTTAGATTGTCGTAGGTTACGGATCAACTGAAATTTCTGGTGTAGCTAGCGTAACTGTCCTAGGGGAATCGCATGAAGGTATTGTTGGTGCAATCACTTCTGGAATTGAAGTTAAACTTGCTGATGTCCCTGATATGGATCTTGTAGCTGTCAGAGATAATAGAGGCGAGGTAAGTTTATCACAAAATTTTTCACTTTTCGCCACATTGTGTGATAACATAATGCAAACTTATATTCTTAAATTTACAGACCAAGGGATTTTGGAATATTCCTTCGTCTATCGAAAATAATATGTGAATAAATATGCCGATGTACTGAATACAGCCGATCTTCCTTTTAATTGGTGTTTTTGTACTTGAAAGCTGAGAATTCGCTGACGCTTGTCAAAAATAGGCCTGTTATCCACAAAAATGGGACATTATTTTGTTAAACGATCACACCAAAGCACAGAGAGAGTTACACATGCATAATTTACTTTTCATTGACTTGTAAACTGAATCGAATATACCTCAGAGAATCTGTTACAATTAGAAATAGATTTTTTTCATATTTGAGTTCAAGCTTAACGTGAAATCCCTGGTACTCTATTGACTGTTGAATATCAACATCCTTATTCTGATTGAAAAACCTTCACTTTGGTATTCATGTTTTATGAGATGATTTTCGTCTTATTAATCAATTGATTGATCATTCAATCAAATCTAATCCTATTCTCAGTATGTGTTAGAGATTCGGGTTGGAAGTAACAATGAATCTTTTCTTTAAAATAATACACTTAATATTCATACCTAGTTAATCTGTTGTATGCAGGAATAATATCATCTTTATCTGTTAGTTTTTTTCGAAAATCCTTGATATGATTAGATAAATAAAAAGATTTGAAATGTAAAGGAACTTTTATTGAATAGAACTTTTCCAAAACTAAATGGTTTCCATTTACATTGGATTGAGCTTCGACAGTTCAACCTAAACTTTGCACAGTAATCGTAGCTTACTTTAAACTGTTTTAAAAGAGTCACAGTGGGGGAAATGATTTGCATCGTATCTATACTAGATTACTTTTTTTATCAGTTTATTATTTTTTTGTATTAGATATGTGTTAAAGGAAAGCGATGTACCAAAGGTTATTACAAAGACCCTCAAAGTACAGCTCAACTTATTGATGCTGATGGTTGGTTACATACTGGTGACATTGGAGAATGGACTGCTGTGAGTTTTGATCAAAAATAACTTTGTACGAATAGATTTTCACATGTTTACCGAACAAAATTCTTTTAATCATGTAGATGTATGAACGTATGTTTCATAGCAGTCTTCTAGGGTATTGATTATTCACGATAAAAATGTTAGTGTTAAACACGAGGTGTTAGTGTTAGTGTAATTATAATTCTCAATCTCCCAAGGTTTTTTTGAATAGTCGTTGCTCATTTTCAGACAGCCTAATAAAGAGTTGAGACATAAGAATAATGAAAGCAACCAGATCACGACGTCAGTCTATGAAATATCGTCTGCAGAAGAAGTTTCTCGATCATTGCCAGTAGTCAATGAGTGAAAGGCTAGAAATAAAGGCTTAAGCGCATTAAAAAAAAACGCTAAATATTCATGAGGATAAAATGAAATTCGTAGATATCACTTATTTATGAACAGAATTAACGAACTAAAAGAGGGTTGTAACGATAATTTCTTTACAGGCGTATAAATCATGTTTCTAATGCCTGATAATAGTAAATTCAGAAGACTAGGTCTTGGTTGTTTAACAACCTGACGTATTTCGACTTGTCTTTAGTTTATCTAGATTTAATAATTATGCTTTGTGGGTAGTATTGTTGTTCAAGCACTCTTCCACGTTCATCGTTTCTTCTTTGAGTCTTTTCAGTCTATGAAATATTGTAACTGACTGAACAAGATCAGTTAATGTTTAAGCTCTCCGTTGCAAAAAATGTCTGTATGTGTTGCATAATAAATTAGATTTTACGATGCACATTGAAAGGTTGACTGCTATTTATGGTTATAATAAAATAAACGTGTCATCGACATAGCGGAATTATTCCATCTTTTCGTTGAGTTTCTTTCATCCAATGGAAGTCTTCATTGATTTATCATAAATTGAGATTTAAGATAGATAAATGTTCCAAATATGTAGAATAAAGGAACAGATTTAATTTTTTTGACATTCGTCTTTAAATTCAACACACAACTATGCAGTTATCTCCAGCGACCAAAATTGTGATATAACTTATTCACATAAATGGTTTATTCGTGTTCCTGTAAAACATACATATTAAAAGGTTAGACCAGCATTTGTTGTGATATAGTGACTATATGTACATTGCAATAACTAATCTACCAGTATCAAATTATAAAATAAAATAAAGTTCATGTACTAATCGATTGCAATCCTCGATGTGAATGGAGCAAAAGTTCAAACCCTTAAATACATAAATTTATAATTGTTGAACACGGTAGTAGTGTCTACCTGAATCTAGTAAATTATTAGAAAATGCATTGAAATTTGAAGCAACAGGTACTAACCTTTGATTTCAACGTGAACACCGTATTGAAGAGTTCCAAGTAGGATGGGCCGCGCGTCCTGAAATCCATTTGTTAATTACAATCCAAATATTTGAGATTTGTATTGTTCTTAAACAGAATTATGAACCTTATAAGTGAATCTAAGCTACACTGGCTGGTTGCTTACCTGAACTGTATTGCGAAAAACGTTTTTATTTTACTTTTATATAGCTTTCTCTGTTTTATTGCTTTTTAGTGTCGTTGCTTCGTTTCCTGGTTGTCTATGATTTAAGTAAAATAATATTACTCACCCACTCATAAACATAATTAAATACATTATAGGTTGTAGCAGAGTTTTTATCATGTTCATTTTTTATTGATTATATTCAATTAGCTAAAATTCTATGTCATTCTCTTAGGCAGTTACAACCATCTTGACCTAATATGTATTAAGTTTACTTTAAACCTGTGTCTCTTTTCAACAGAAAAAGTATTATCATTGCTTTTTCTTTTAACAATTCGAAGGAGGGTGCTTTGAAAATTGTTGATCGTGTAAAAAGTATGTTCAAGCTGGCACAGGGCGAATATGTAGCTCCAGAAAAAGTAGAACTAGTTTATCATGGCTGTCAACTCATAGACCAAATACTCGTTGATGGAAAACCGGAAGAAAATTTCCCTGTCGCTATTGTTACTCCGAATTTCGTCAACTTACGTGCATGTATTCATACTTATCTAAAATCTGGTTTGAATGTAAATGATAAAAAAATATTTGATCTGAAACCGTCAGATATTTCTCGATTATCTGACGCCGATATTTGCCAAAACATAGATGTTCGACGATTTGTTTTGCAAAAGATGAACGAAGTTGCAATAGGAAAAGAATTAAAAGGATTCGAAATGGTAAGTTATCTGATAGTTTCATATCTTCAAACCATCTGTTAGTGCTTTAATTAGATCAACCTTCTTATATTTTATTTGACCTATTAAGTATCATGTTCACACATAGAAACTTTTTAGTGTAGATTAGCTGATGTTTCGTTGTTTGTAACAAAAACTACCCATACTGATGATATGCTGGTCCAGCATATCATATTTTAATGTCAAAACTAAGAGTTTTAGCGAATTTTAACATGCTAATTTAAAATTACTTGATCATTTTTGATTGCTTCAGAAGAAAACATGAATTTCATATTCTGGTGAGAAAATAATACATAAGAGATAGATATTCCCGACCATAGCTGTGCGAGCTCGCTTATCATGATGACCCAAACGACTTATATTGTACGGAACATATTTTTCTGTGGCGTCTATCATGCCAGGTAGGTTTATTGGAGAACGGTAAGACTAAAAGCAACAACTCAAGGTGTGAGGGTGAAGTTGTACCGTAGACTGTAGACTAATGAGTGCCAACCCGATTTTCTTTTCAGATTCCTCAAGAAACACCCGTACACTGTGTGGGCAACCGGGAAGTGACATCGGCCCTCTTACACGTAACAGCACACGAGACCACACTGGTCGCAATCAAATCCTACTTACACTTCTGAATGACTGCCTTATTTCCACGATTAACCCTTATTTCATCCCTTTACCACCTCTGCCGCTGATGCAAACGTTTCGAGTACATGAAACATAATTTCTCTTGTCTTGAAACCCCTCTCTAAACTACATGTTGGAAGTTTTAATGTTCTAACCTTGTGTCTATTGAGGCAAAAGGTTTCTTTAGTTAGAACTCTGGAATAATCGCGAACAATGGTGATTATCGAAAGCAAGAGAGATGGAAAGGGCAGCGGCGATAGTTAACAGTAGATAACTGTTCAGACTTATCAAGGAAGCCAGCATTATAAATGAGACTGTGAATGAGATTATCTACGAAAATGATGAGACTATTATTCATTCTCAATCCAGGAGATTGGATCGATGAGCAGAACACTTTAGGGATCAGTTTAACTGGCCTTGAACCACACTTCGGTTACCCACGATCTCCAGTCATCCTGAATGGCAAGTCGACGTAAGCCCTCCGAACCGTAATGAAGTTGAAAAGGCTATGAGATATCAGAAGCGAGGGAGTGCAGCTGGCCCTGAGAGATTTACGAATGGGATTTTTAAGGATGGTGGTCTAGTTTTAGCAGTTAGATTGACTGAGATCTTAGGTAGAATCTGGGAACTGGACGTAATCCCATCTGACTGGTCTCAATTCCTGATTGTCCCAGTCTATGAGAAAGGACAAAAGTCCTCTTGTGACAGTCACATAAGGATCAGCTTAACTAATACAGTGTCTAAATTGTTAGCATCGATAATACGTATACGCCTAAGTAGAGCTCGTGAAGAGCAGACTCGGGAAAACCAGGCTGGTTTTCGACCTGGACGTGGATCTATAAACCATATATTCTCACTTCTTTCAAGAAGAGACACATCCAAGCGTCCGACAATAGTAGTACTCGTCGACATTGAGGCCGGATTTGATTCAGTCGATCGTGAGGTTCTATGGCACTGTCTGCCATTGAAAGTTTTGCCGCAGAAGTACATTAACGTTGTATAATCGCTTTACTCAAACACTACTGGTCGAGTGACAGCTTATGGCGAACACTGTCATCAGAATTGATTACTTCGATTGGTACTCATCAGGGCTATTATTATTATTATTATTATCATCCTTATTATGGCTTTATTCGATGCCATACGTTTATTACAACATGGAATTCTCAACACAGAATATTTCAACAAGTTTCCTTTACAAAACAGCTGGAAGTGATCAACTCAGGAATCGACATCTTATTAAATGTCATTTTTTCTCTCAGTAGATTGTTAGTCACCGCGACGTTTCAGATTGCACTTTTTCAAAAATCACAAAACAAATCAACGAAGAATCAATCTTACTGATCACTTTCTAGATTGTTGATATTACTTGGTTTTTCTGCGGTAAGACATGTTGATTCTTACACGGTCATGTGAAAATCTAAATTAATTTTTGTCTTCTTCATGATGACAGTAACAGAGTCATGAACGTATGGTTTTAGTTGGGAAACAATTTTACAATGTATGAATAACGATATCTTTTTTATCTATTTTTTGATTGAATTTCGATTAAAAAAACTACATTCGGGAATAATATTCTGATGCTGACATTGAAATGCGATGAGATAAATTCAGAGTTACATAGCAGTAAAAATGACGCTATTTAATTTACTGAACTCTTTTTCCTGATCCAAGTTAATGATTTCAAATTTTCTTTTCAGGTCAAATCTGTCTACCTAAATGATGATCCATTTACTGTTGAAAATGGACTGTTAACTCCAACCATGAAAGTATCACGTCAAAATGCCCGTCGACACTTTCAATCTATCATTGAAAACCTATACTTAGAAACTGATTTTTTGAAGACAAATGCATAACTAATAATTTAACTTATCCCATTTTTTACTGTTTACTTTTTACAAAATAATTTGTTACATCGCATACGGTACTCATTTTGTTACTCCTACATAAATAAAAATACAAAGGGAGCACTCTATCATTATTTCTTTTATTACAATGATATATGTGAATCCTTATTTTCTGCAATGTATCTCGAGTAGTTATCTATCGTGAAACTCACTTCTGCTGATTTAATCAGAATAATTTATAGTTCTGAAATTAAAACAATAAATTGCAAAAACTAAACTACATAAGGTAGTGGAAATATAGCGAATAATGTTACTTAAAGAATCTAGAACGAAAACTCATTCACATTTGTTCTAATTACTATGATATTGCTACATTTAACCACAATAATTCTTGATACTGAATAGTAGAAAAGGTGAAGGTTGATTCAACAATCACACACGTATGTTTTACACCGCAGATATCTATAATCCATTACCTGACATCGTTTTCTTCAAAGTGAATTTTGGAAATACCTAAAAATGATTTGGATTTGACACTTGTAAAATAATTGGGAAGGTCGCTGCGAAAAGTAAGCCTCGATGATGTCAAGAACGATAGCGAAGGTTTCTTCATTAAACTATGCGCAATTTATATAAATAACTAAAACCCGTACGTCGACTACGAGAGGTTCGTAACAAATGAGTCGGCTGTTACTATCTATTTGAGCTGATTTAACTGCAATCTGAAAAACCCATCCTTATCAATTATACCACCGAAAAAGAATTGCCATTCGACAAGTATTAGACTTTCCCTTACCATTTGACTGCAACCTAATTTTTTTTGACAGTTATTTCATGGAGAATGTCGACCCCCTATGAAAGGCACCCGCAAAAAAGATGGAGTTTAGATTTCATTGGTCGAGTTACTACTAATAGTTCCTACTACTGTTGATTTCACGTGGTCATCTACTTTAATGTATTTACCAAGAGAAGCAGTGCAGATAAGTTTATCCTACGTCAGTGCTTGAATATATATCATAGCACTATGTTGACCCCATGAAACGTTAATCTCCCGTTTGGTGTTGTATATCTTGCTTAGTGTAATCCTAATTGTTTAAGATTGTTAATAGAAACTAAATACGAAATGCGTCGGAGAATTTTCCCAGAGGCAGACATAGTTGCCTGCTTAGTTTTTGATAAGCGTGACCCAACATTTATTGTCAGATAGAAAAGCAAGCTTGCAACAGATAACGAATAGAGTGATGAACAAACGCACGCAGAGGTAAGAGCCGTTCAAGTTTACAACTAGGTAGTTGACAGGGTCAAATATGCATACATAGTGACTCGAAAACATTAGATTGTTTCGTCTGTCCAAAAGGTAGATTAAGTTTACTTAGTTGTAATAAAGTAGCTATTGATACAATACGTGCGCGTTAACAGATTTTTCAAAAAAGGGATTTCAGATGTTTAGGTCAACAGCTGTAAACGCTTGTATCACTCTTAGCCAGTTTTGCATAACACCCTTTACTTGATTGGTTAGGCAATTAAACCACTGAGATAACCGAGGCATTCCCCTAATCACCTATAACTGGTACTGGTACTCGTTTTCTAGTACTTCTAACAATCTGCCTTGGAGGTTGAGGGTCGAATTCTGTCAAAGACCATAAATGTATGTCAAAGGGTAGATGCGGTAGAACGGAAAGTACTACCTACTTCCAGTATCAGTGATGCTTACAATTCCCGCCTCCATTTTCGTTCTACAAAATTAAGTAGTTGGACCAAACGTCAAAATAAATGGTTTTCTTTAATCTAGTGCATTTTCTCAAAGAATTCAACCAAATGTCACGAAGAACGAATACTTCTATTAACTCGGTAACTACTTTCTAAAGCTTTTTCTGATTGTGATCACACTTTAAACTGTAAAAGGGTAACAGTTTCGATATCGCTTTTATAGCACATTCGACTTTTTTAATCTGAGTAAAATCTGCCTATGGTGACCAAGTTCGAAAGATCTAGTTGAACAAAGCTTGAGTACGTCCATTATGGGCTAAAGTTTTAGGGTTACGGTAAGTGACCAATTTGTACCTATGTTACTGACAGTCAGATAAATTAAGAATATTTATAATAATGTACTCATTACTGAACTGCACAACAATGAGTACCAGACAAAACTACCCAAAATGATTTACTAACGAGTTGTTAATCCGAGAAACGGTGTCATGTACATACATAAAAACTAGTGACTTTCTGCATCTACAGGTTTTATGTATAGCACATTTGTGACCTTAAACTGTGACTTAATATTGCATCAGAACCTGCATATAATTGTGACACAAGCTGATAATAGCGAAAGCTAAAGGAATAGGTTACAGTAGACAATTGCTCGTACTTATCATAAAGACTGGTATTATAAATCCAGCTCTTCTTCCAGGACCTTAAGAAGGCATTTGACTCGGTTGATCATGAGGTACTGTGGCAGTGTCTGTCATTAAAAAGTGTACCAAAGAAAAACATCACCTCGTACAGGCTCTCTACTTAAACAATACCGGTCGCGTCAGAGCTGATGGCGAACTGTCATCGGAATTGATTACCTAGAGTGGTGTTCGGTAGGGTTGCCCACTTTCTCTACAATCGGTATTCGACCAGGAGATCCACTTTTGTTTTAAAATATGCAGACGCGAGACAATAGTACCCAGTGGTTAGAGACTTAGAATGACATGGCTCAAAATCGTCTGCAATGGAGCAGGTGCATCCATTCTGTCTTCTTTTAAATTCTAATCTACTGAATCCCTCGTGAATTTTTTCTTTTTTTAAATTAATTTCACTGGAATATACTTCCCGAATCATATATTCGACCCCCGATCTTTTTAATTAATGTTAATACTACCACATTCCTACTACTGTGAGATTTGAACAGACAATTTCATCCCTTCTTGCCAATGGGATATGGTAACTTGAACTGATGTACGTAGGTACCAAGTTTTACGTTACAGCTGACTGAGGTAATTCTTTACTTAGCGCTGACGATTAGACTAGTTTTTTAATACTTGGCTTTTTTTCATGCACAAATTATTGACAATTAACTAAATTTCAAGATAATGTGATTAATCTTTCAGATAGAGCAAGTGATTAAGCTATACAAAAAAAAATAGATGAAAAGTTTTGCGTGGTAATTGGTTAAAGTGGTCATTTATTTATTTATTTTTTAGAAATACAAAAAATGTACAAAATTATAGCGCGTAGTTCAGCATTACATCTTGCTTGGCAAGTTCTAGCAGCATAGGATCATCGAAGAATTTGTTGATACTCACATCTTCATTCAAGCCCTAAAAGATAACAGATTAAAAATTTTAGTATAATGAACAGTAGATGGTAGTTCATCATTCAAAAAAAGGTAAACTATTCACAATTAAAAAATAAAGTGGTATGAATTCTAGTGAATGCGATTGCAATTATATGTTACATTGCTTTTGGTGAGTATTTGTGAAAATCAAAAATAAATCACACCATGTCCATGAAAAGGCCAATGACAGTAGTAGACAACAAAAAAAGAGCTGGTAAATAATTTGAAAACCTACAAACAATTAATGATAATATTTATAGTTTCAGCTTGTATTTACATGTCTTAACGACCTCTTGCTTGTTACATTTTAGTGTCATAACAATACAACAATCAACAAATCAATAGACACAGTCTTAACAAATTTTCGAAGATACGGGTAGAGAAAAATCAAATTGTTCTTTTGTTATTATGCTTTATGGTACATTTTATGAGAACTCAAGAAAACATGTTCACTTGACTTATTTTGACTGCTTTGTATATACCTTAACTTATGATGAAGTATACTTTATACTCACTCCAAGACCACATTTCAACAATATACTAACCTTTCTTCTTCGAGTCTTAACCATAAACTCTCGAGCCAAATGAGTTGCAGGTTGTGGGACCAAAGGCTGTATTTGAATTGAACGATCGAGTGGGTCTCCTGGAACCATTTGCCAGTGATTAAAAACAAGCATACAAAACGCCTGTCCCTGAGCATGTGTTCGAAGATCCGTTTCGAAGCCGAATGAATCAATGACGGGCACAAACGCACGGATAACATATAAAGGAGATCCAGATATGGGAGCATCGGATGTTACATGACCACTGAGAATTAAGAGAAGTGAAAACAAGTGAACTCGGTAGAATTAATATCTTTTTGTTTAACAGACTAAGAAAGTGGAAACAATCTTTTTTGTTTCTATTATTTTCTAATTTGCTAATATGTCTACCAGCCTCGTTACATAATCGGTTTACAGCAGTAAAAATTATGAACAGGATTCTTTCAAGCTCTTTGTGTGGCGGTTACGACGTAAAGGACATACTGAGAAGATACTGAATATACTACCATATAAACATGTATGTATAATGCTCAAATATACTCTATTTCCTAATAAATTTTATATATTCATCAGAAAGACTTTCCTAGTACCCATCAAAGGGATACATATTTAACGGCAATACTGTTGTTGTAATATCAGTTGACTACCAAGTAAGAGGGAGATTTGAGGTGTGACCTAGCTACTGAAAGTTTGGTGTTGTCACTCCTAAGTCCATATCCCGTTGACAAACCCATATACCAAAGTTACATATGACTTGGCTATAATTCGATCTAATTATAGATGTTCAACGTTATTTTCACGAGAGCTACAAAAATATCTTAATTATACAGACTAGAATCTTTAGGTGTAACTATGATGAAGCCTAGTTGTTGGTTACTCGATAACTGTTGAGCGTAGTGTTAAATAATCACGTAAATAGAATTGTTGAATATCTATCTGTAATTTTGAGTAAATATTGAAATAATTCTACTTACCGACGACGAGCAAGAACTGTATATACCGCTGAAACACAATCTGCAGGGGCCTGGACCTCAACCAAATAATAAGGTTCCATCAAGCGAGGTGTGGCCATGAGGAAAGCAGAGTAGGCAACTCGACGAGCAGTAGGGATTATTTGTCCAGAACCCCGTTGATGTGCTTCTCCAGAAATCAGAGCATCTAATATTTTAAATTTCACATTGCGAATCGGTTCATCACAAAGTGGTCCTTCACGTGTACCCCATTGGAAACCCTACATAACGTGAAACAAAGACATACGTAGTCCATGTACATTGATACGAATATCCTGCATCCACAGATACTACTCACAAATATTTATGAAAGATAAACAATAAATAATTATGCTTTCTTAGTACATAATATGGACAAATTAACACAAAGATGTAGGAGCAAAATAATATGGCGCTGTTACTCACTTGCACAATGTAATCTTTGACCGTCAATAGTAAATTCTTATCAACTTCAGATGGCAATGTATCATCCATTAGTATATTCGGACCAGTAGCGTCTGGACCAAAAGCCCATATAGACCTGTTGGACATGAAGCAATGATAACAATATAGACACGAATGGCTTAGTGGAAAGTTACAAACGCTTCCCTACTTACAATCCGATTGAAACATGTCACTACAGTGTGTACCACATATCGTTATTTTCATCAAGTAGATACCAGAGCGAGATAAGGGACGTCTTTAGTTGATGAAATTAAGAGACAGTATAATACTTAATCACTGTTGGTTTGGAAACTGTATGTTCACACTAATGGTAACTCCCTTCAGCAGAGCCAATGAAATATAGAAAATGAATATCATACTATAAATAACGACAGGATTCATGGTATGTCGAATGACAGTCAAGCTGAACTAAAATAAATTCATCATAATAATCAATGGCACTTGTACATAAAATATTAACAATGGTAAGATTAATATTGAGCAAACATATTGTACATAACGAAATTTAAAAATTTTAATTACCTGGAAGCAAGCAAGTCCCAGTCATACTTTTTCTGGAAAAAGTCTCCAAGTCGCTTTTTCGGCCAAGTAATTTGCACAACCTTATTCTCTATGTCTTCGGCCAAACCCTTATCGAGTGGTTCAGCAATCATGGTTAACTTATTTCTGGTTACAATACAGAGATGTGTAGACAATCGATTAGAAAGTTAGCGGATAATAGTCTTATGCATACAAGATTAGCCAACAATAAAATTGAACTATAGTCTAAATACACAATGTAATAAAGGCTGTTAGTATTTAGTTTCTCTAACAGTTTCGTTACATAGAATAGATGGAATGTGGAATGGCCGTCTGGACTAAGTAGCTAAGTATTTGAAGCGAACGGTACTAGATTCAAGTCCCAGAGTGAATATGAACTTTGGGATGCAGGCACATCCAGTTGACGAGTCCCAAACACGACGAAATGTGCGTCTTGGATTCCACTGTTGGCTACAGTCCATCTAGTCTACATCAACTCGTTCAATAACAGCTATATCGATGCTATTCCTACATGATGCCCATATCCCAACCTAATTTCATTCAACAGCAGGATAAACCACACTACTTCAGGTTGAAATATGTATTATTATAGTACCAAGACAGTTCTTATTTGACACTTTTATCAGGTATTTCATACAAAGAATTAGCAGAAATCATGTTTTCAGAAACAAATACTTTCCTTAGGCTACGAATATTTTTAGAAATTAATCAGTAGACGTATTGCATCTCAGTTGTAAATTTGTATGACTATTTCTATATAGGTTTTCTTTATACGGTAGTAATGCTCTGATTCCTACTAATGAGTGCAGTTTGCTGACGAAGTGTAAAATTTAGATTCAATTACAAATGCTGGCTAAAATGCATAATATATAGTTTTCCATTAGAGATTATTGATTAAATCAAACTATTTCATAGATGATATGAATACGGCATATCATGCATAACAGCAACCCTTCTTTTAGGTACATGGAACGTTCGAATACTGTGAGAAAATGGAAGACTATTACAAGTTGCTGCAGAAATAAAAAGATACAACCTAGCGGCGCTTGGAATCAGTGGAACAAATTGGAAGCAAGTTGGAAAACTGAGATTAGCTTCGGGAAAGCTGCTACTATACTCCGGCCATGAAGAGAAAAATGCCCCCAACACACAAGGAGTTGCACTGGTGCTGTCCAAACAAGCACAAAAGGCACTAGTAGCATGGAAATCTCATGCACCCACGACCATCAAAGCATCCTTCAAAACAAAGAAAGAGGGAATTACAATGAAAGTCGTCCAATGCTATGCACCTACGAAAGGCTGCAGTCAATCATCGACATGGACTGGGAGATAGGAACGAAAATGGTAAGATTTGCAAACTGACGACTGTCGGTTGAAGTAATCAATTCTGAAGACAGTTGGCGATAAGCTCTCACTCAGCCAGTAGTGTTTGAGTAAAGCGCTTGTACAAGGTTAATATACTTCTATGGTATACCTTTCAGCGACAAACATTGCCGTAGAACTTAACGATCAACAGAGTCGCGTGGCCTGATAAGAATATCTAGACCAATTAAATAATAAGTGATAACAGAAATACCAACTTCCAGTTTTCTTGATTTGGGAAATTATCTAAACATTAAGAAATAGAATGTTTCACGAACACCAATCCATGTGCAACGTCATCAGGAGAAGCATAGAACACCAAGTTAAAGGTGAACAATAACCAATCAAAATTTAGATCGACAGGACAAGCTATGAGTCATCTTCGGAGAAATTCGAATACTTCATTTCTACCTGAAGTGTGAGCTGTTTTTTCAAAAGAAAAATGTAAGCTAGACGACCAAGCCATAAACCTCAGAGAACGAATCGTGATCAAGGAAAAATAAGCACCAGTAAAAATGTAGGAAAATACAATGTAATATTACAATGATACATCTTTCTACAGATTTCAATAAAACTTTTACAATATACTTACTTCTTATTTGGCGTTTCAGCAAAGCACTTTAAAGAGGAAGTTTCCACAACTGTTTCGCAAAATGCTACAACGGGATCCGCAACTTTCACATCTGATCAAAAAAATATATTATAACTTCAAATCCAAACGGGATAGATAGAAGATAGAAGATTAGGGGCACTTATAAAATATAAATATAAATGATATAATGCTGAATGCTAATATTCGAATAAAAACAATGTCTTGTGATTAAGACAATGATAATCCATTTCCAGCTAAATTGTGGACAACGGGCTGATTATCTATCAGGATTCAGTTTGCTTTAGTGTCGAACTAGGTAAGTAGATAGTGAGAAAAACAAAAAAGTCCATAGACGACAGAAACACTTTAGACCTTGGAAGAAAGGGTGACTAGAATGGCTGTAGTTTAGCATTTTAGAAACTTTAGTGCGGCCAAGCAAATTGAATATTCATTAGTTGCATAAATAATTATGACCTCTAAACATTAACGAAATTAAACAAAGAAAGTATCACTAACTTAGCACTTATCTCATATCACAAAAAAACTCATCAACAACTTAAGATGTAAAAATACTGGTGGGTTGCTTACATGAGAAGCTAAACAGAACAGTAATTCAGGCGCTGAACCTTAGTTGTTATCGAATTACTTTGTCGGTGGTGACTAAGTGTAGAAACTTAGAATTATGAATTTTGTACTGAGTACCCCAATGACATGTCCACATGCCGCACTTATTATTAAGAAAATTTGGTGAAAATCCTTTTATGATCACGACTAGAGTGGTAGTTGAAAAAAATACATGAAAACTTACCGATATCAGAGTAGAGCTTGCGCAAATCGTGCATAACACAATCTAAATACAATTCACCAGTACCACGAATGACACGTTCTCCCGATTCTTCAACTTTGGTTGCAAGCAAAGGATAGCTTTTGTTGACCTAAAGTGGGAGAATTATTATACAGTGATGAAGACCATATTAAAATTTAATATTGCGACGATTAATCTATCAAGAGACATAATTTATAATGTCAGTAGACAATAAGGATTGATAAGAAACGGATCACTGTAAAGAAATGTATAAGGTGTCTCGGTTTACACGGAAATCAATAGAGAAGCATCCAGCAACTTTATTTAATAACGTTTAGAATTGGCGAATCATAACGCTTACTTTTTCCTTCATGAAATCCCTTTAATCTGTGTGAGCATGAGTCATGTACGATTAATAACGACCAAGATACATGCGATGATAATATATAAAGACATAACTTAATAAAAAAGCTTTTAATTAGAAAAAAACTCTCCAACGAGAGGAACTATGAAAACTCAGGAAGTCACTTGCTTTTCTAAGACCATCCAACAATTTAGGTAATTCAGAAGGATTAGCAGGTTCCACAGCTATCTTAACAACTGAAGAAGTGTTGAAGTTTAAAGGTCTAAATATATGCGCTCCACGGGCTTCCGCTGATGTTAATGTAGCTGTTTTCACAATAGGATGATCAACACCTTCAATTAAAACCCAATTCCCCGCTGGTACCCGATTAACCTCTAGTTGGTAACTGAAAAATGAAAACATGGTGTACATAAACAAACATTAAATAGTGCGATTTCAGAGAATCGAGAAAAATGGGGTAACAAAAATTCCTACATAACAGTGCCTTTATGAAAACAAATCTGCTGCTTTAGGGTTTAAACTTCTTCAGATATCAAAGTTGAAGGATAGCAAATACATAAACCGAGAAAGCATTAACTCAAGTAGCGTTATATCAATCTGTTAAATATGTTCTAAGTTAAAAACAAATTTTGCCAAGTAATTAATCGATTACTTTAAAGCACAAAATAAATAAATAACCACGAGTGTCTGGTAATGTAGCCTAGTATCCTCGAAAATCCACAGCAAGTATCTCATTTTACTGTACGTAGCAAAGAGTGAACATTATCAGCACTCTCCAGTTTTTAATGGCTATTTAAGGTTGACGCGGAGCCAGACATAGTCGAATTTGTATAAAACTTCTTTACCATCAGGTTGCTTAGTGTAATGTAATAAATAAAAACGAACATTTCAATTACTTATTTTAGTTTGGAAATGATTTTTTTTAAATGAAAATCAAAGGTATTAAGAGGAGCAAATTAAAACAATTATGTTCAAAAAACTAAACTGATGAAGTTTCAGTACTTCATCTATGGACCTGCGACCTTACCCAGGACCCGTTTCACAATAACAGCATTGCTTACTCGGTTGTCAGCATCTTCATCAGACAGAACCATGTCATCTGCGTATTCTAAGTCAACAAGTTCAACTCTTGGAAAGTCAGATGATGAGAGTTTCGTATCTTAAAGCACGTCAATGACAAGGTTAAACAAGAATGGAGGGAGCGGACGGCCCTGACGAATGCTAATTGAAGTAATCAATTCCGATGACAATTAGATATAGGCTCTCACTCGGCTAGTAGTGTCTGAGCGACAGTCTTCAGCTGAGCCTATCCATCGATAACTGATAGCGATTTGACCAAGCTGGGTCCAACTTTGGGACGAGCTTGGGGGTCGCCATGTTAAAAGATGTTTATTCTCGAGCTTAAAGTTAGTATTTGCGGTTGTCTGAGCATAGCCGCAACAAACGGCCGCTATTATCTGTTCTTTCAGCCATAACACCATAAGATCCACCCAGGTGTCTTTCAGTATCGCTTGTCTACCTACTTGAGCATTGAAGTCACCAACCACTATTAATACATCAGAGCGCCTAACTTTTTGGAGATCCGGAAGCTTCCTGTAAAACTCATTTTTCACCTCGTCTGAGATGTAGTTAGTGGGAGTGTAGGCAGAGATGATGAAGAGGCAACGTCGAGTGTTTCTATCTTTCCGACTCCTTACTGTCCTGTTCAGTTGGATAGCACACAAGCGACCACCTACTGGGATCCAGTCCTGTCCTAGGATTCACTGCAATATCTACACCAGCGAGGCCAAGAAAAGCAGAAGTAGGGCTTCCAGATACACGGAGCGTAAACCGACAAGGAAAGCGGCCAATCGGAGACATATGATCGGAAACAAGCAACCTACTAATATCTTCTACTCTGACTGCACATATTTCATTGCTATAAAGTAGGACGAAGCGAACTACTGCGCAATACACTCGTCCTTTAGTCCGCAAACGGATATCTCGCCTACGCCATAAGTGACGCAGGTTTACAAAAGCCAATCGAGCCTTATCTACCCGTGCCGAGATTTCGTCACAAACCAAGCCATAGCACTGATTAGACTCCTCAGATAAGTGAAGTGGTCAACACGCCAAACTGCTTAAGTTTGATATCAAGTCGGCTATTAGCTGTTTTCTGAATGCGGTATAAAATACGGTACTCATAAACATTTGTTTGGCAAATATCAAAATATACTCAGAAGACAATAAATTAGGTAGCTATGACTTAGAGGTTCAACACATGCTAAAAACTCTGGAAAACCTTATATGAGGTACTTTCAAAACTGTAACCTTAAGTAAATAGGATAATACGTTGGGGAGTAATTACTCACCGTGCGATAGATACCCACAAACGACCAACTGTAGCTGGTCGGGAATCTTCTTCGTCAGAAAGTGTGTAGTTCTCGCCTAAAACACGAACGGTTTGACCGGCAAATAAGGTACCACACATAACACGTCCAAAAACGTGAAAAGAGATAGCTTCTTGATCAGGATAAAGTTTGGTAGTATGAACGATGACATGTTCGTAATCCATATTGCATTTAACCATGGCACGTCCAAGATCATTATCTAGACTACCAGTATATGTTGATCCCACTTTCACTGCGGCTGAGTTAACTGGACTTGGTATATGTTCTGCGCACATATTCACGAAACCTACGAAACAAAATTAAATTTTGGAGGTACGAATGTAAAATTCATATGATTAGTAATATACAATTAACTAATATCAATGATAATAAAATAACGTAAATGATTTTTCCTTGAAATCAACCAAGACATTTTAATCTTTAAGGTACCTAAAACTGATTGGTGCTAAGGAATATTAATATCTCATGTGATAGGGAAGATCAAATTTACATGAAAATGAAAAGAACGCCACAACACTGACTGACATGTAGAAACATGTTTCAAAATTATTTGTCAAAAGCGCCTCCAGTAAAAACAAATACCAAAAGAACATTTGCAAGCTTACCAGAGAAATCTCCAAAGAAGCGTTTAAATATTAAGCGCAAAAGTGGGCGTATGTTCAGTTTCATTTCAGATTTCGTCAAATAGATACCCAACTCTGAACACAATGACGGCAAGCAAGTATCAACGTCACCAACAGTTTGAGCAAAAATCTTGTACAAAGGTTCAAGAATAAAATCTACAAATGTTCGTTGTGAATTTGGAGAAGGTGGTCGTTTTTGAAATCTTCGTCTGCAATAGATTTAAAATAAATCTGATTGTACTGCTTCCAAGCTCTGCACAAAATTAAATCATACTGAGATTGAAAACCACATAGTTGAAGTGATACACTCATTTATCAGTACAAATAGTTTTAGATGAAAGTTATGAATATAAATTAGCATCGAATATAAGTTTAACAAGTATAAAACTTGATGATTAGCTTATCATTCAACTACTGATGTGGAGGTAGTCATTTTGATTGTGAGAGTGAAGGGGAATTGTGACTGGTTATTTGCCTAGACAGACTGGTAGATAGTCTGACAGGTACTTTACGTAACACATATTTCCTACCTTTAAGTTAATATAAATTGTCTGTTGTTGATAGTTGGCTAATACACACTGTGGTCAGGCTAATCACGTTTTCTTAATTTGAGTTGTGTTGAGGTCTAACAGTGCTGGCTAATTGCCTAGTGTAGCGAGAAATTCGGGCGATATAACATTATACATCGTTGGATTCCAGCATGGAAGTCTAGAGGTTACGTGACAGAGCGAGACCAAGGATTCTGGGTCCGGCCCCTAATGACATGGTCGTAGACGCGTACTGCTGGGTCCTAATACTGGGACAAACCAGCTATATAGTGCTTCCAGGCTTTCAATAGTTGTTTAACCTACAACACTTCGTGATCTCAATAAAATCCAACAATTTCTAGTCGTACTGGTAATCGTCGAAAATTAGTCCAAAAACGTGAGTGTTACTGACTGCCAAGTCAAATATTTTTAGTGGATGATGGTGATAGTTAAAGCTTAGATAATGTGGACGGTAAATAGGTGGTTAAAGCACTCAGATTTCAACAAGTTACATGTTTAAACTTTTAACATCTACTTCGGTTCAGATAGCCGGGTGGTATCACTAATAGACACAAATGATGTGACTTATAGCTCGGTATATAAACTTACGCCTAGAAAACGAGTCCTTTTACGTAAATAATTAGTAATTTATACAAAATTGAGAGAGAAACATTCTAAACATTAAATCAATCAATCTGAAAAGATAAACAGCAAATTTTCAAAATAATAAAAGAAGTAAGAAGAAATGTATGACACATTACTAAACCGAGACTGATATTTACACAATTTTTATGAAAACAACTATATGGTAGATCTGCTACTTTGATAAGCTACTTTATGATATGTGAATGAATTCAAATGTGATTACTTCGTACTTAAGAAACGTAGGTCATTCAAATTAATACTTTTTGATATGGAGAGAGAGCATTTCGAGAGTCATGACTACTTACAAATGCTGGTGGAAGTTAAAAGACTAGTGTGTGTTTAAATAAAATGTTAAAAAGCCTTACGTTTTAGAATTGAAATATACATCACCCCATAAACGTCCAGCAAATTCTTTGTAGTCCATGCCGTTAGCAAATGTATCCATATATATTCTCGCAAATGATTCCAAAGTAAAACAGAATCGGTAATAAGTACTGGCGAAGCAAACATTTCCCAATAATGGGCTGACAGCAGGTTGTGCATCGTCTGTAATTCCTGAAAACACGTATAAGTTGAGATCAAGTTCACTATATTTCCAAATATCAGTTTAGCTAGAAAGTAGTAAATATTAGTAATACTGGTTGCTTTTTAACATTCGTCAGTTAGTATCAGATTATTTTCAAAAACATTCTAGTGATTTAGCAGAATGGTCTGAAAGTTGGCAATGATTTAATTTTTTATCGATTGTAAATACGATCAACGTTAGGGAGGGACGACCAACTTCAGTAATGGCAATTGAGGACATGACCAACCCTAAACAGGTACTTCCTTGAGAAAATAAATATATCGTTTATATCACATTGAAACAGCGAAAGGCCCAATTTATAGAAAATGAGCAAATTTTGACCATTAAATTCAATGGTGTAGCAGAAAGAAAAAATGGATTATATCTAAATCAAATACAATATAGCAAATAACGAAGAAATATGTGCAATCTCGCTAAAAGAAACTTACCTGCACCTTCAGAATAAGTCAGAAGTATTGAATTCACTTCATCAATTATGTGCTTTATTTTGTAATATGCATCCATTGGTGGCAACTTTAGTTCGATTATAAGACGATCAATTTTGTTGATGCATAGGGTGACCGGTAACCGTTCTTGTAACGCATGTTTAAGAATACGTTCGGTGTTTAGGAGTACACCTTCGCTGACATCCACCAACAGACAGATCCCATCAGCAAGTCGAAAAGCCGCAGTTACCTCATCGGAAAAGTTGACGTGACCTAGATTACAGACAAATTTTGCGAAATTAACCGATCAAATTAGGAAGAATCCTATTATGTGTTAATAAAGATATATTCCAATCATCAATAGTCAGTACACAGTAGGTAAAACAGATGGGTTGAGAATCGGAAAAAATCTCCATAGTTTTGATTGAATGCAACGATACCAAAAACACGATAATAGGAATAATCAGATTCATTAGGTTATGAGAATACACGGAAGTACTGAAGAAACCTGTTAAAATGACGATTTACAAGAATATATTGTCCATGGACTGAAGAAAATCCAATGGATTTTAAAGATTTTTACCGCCTGATGTTAAAAATACCCTCGCTATATATTATCTACGTCTCAGGAAGATAACCCGAGATCAGTTGCTGAAGGGATCCACCATCAACTTTTCTTAATTCAAAGAGGCACAATCCTAGTAATATTACTCATATACTCTGAGATGTAAATCATTTCCAGTTGCTTGTGTTTTGGAAGCTGTGAATTTTTGTTTGCAGGGCATTGAATTCTCAACCTAAATTGATTCAAATGGTTAGTGTCACTAAACCGAAAATTAGGTTACACCAGCTACAACTCAGTATCTGTTTTTATAAATTTAAGTTGTCTTTAAAACTCAAAGAGCTAACCTCACAGTTCTAAACTTATGGTATTTCATGATTCTTGAAAATAAATGGTAAACACTAAGTGGGACCCCATTACTTTTCTGACGTGGTTCAAACACTGGGAAGATACATATAGAATTGAATTCGGTAAACAAGATGATGCTTGGAAGACTCGACTGTTGCTGCCTAAGTTGGGAAGTAATGAGTATGCACGTTACGCTGACCACATACTACAGAAGTTAACTCGAGAGCTCAGTTTCGAGGAGACAGTAACTCAGCTGTCAGATATTTTCGGCGAATCATCATTATTGCTTAGTATTAGATATCAGTGTCTAAATCTGGTGAAACACGAAGATGATGAATATGCGGTTCTTGCAGACGTCGTCAACAGAGAATGTGAACGGTTCAAGTTACGCTCGTTGACGGAAGACCAATTTAAATGCTTAATATTCATCAAAGCTCTTCAGTCACCGCAAGATGCTGAAGTCAGAACTAGACTTCTGATTCGAATGGACCAAGACCCGAACGTTACACTCAAAACGTTGATAGATGAGTGTAAACGACTACAAAGTATCAGACACGACAACATGTTGATCGAACAGGTAAATCCCAATTTAACCAGCAGTAGTGTCAATGCTATTACTAGGTTAAAAGTACAGAAGCTGAAAACATTTTGCAACAAACCAACGACGGCATGTTGGTTATGTGGTGATTGGCACTACGTACGGTTTTGTCCATTTAAAAAACATAAATGTCAGATGTGCAATAAACGTGGACATAAAGAAGGCCATTGTCAACCAAATCGTACGTCTCAGCCCAAGAAGAAGCACAAACGCACTCGACATATGGTGAAATTAGCCGAGTCTAAATCACTTTCTCTCGTAGCTGCTTTCCAAACAGACTATGACGTTCGGAGAAAGTATGTGACTATCCAGATGAACGGTGCATCAGCTCGTTTTCAAATCGACACGGCATCAGATTTCACCTTAATGTCTAGAGAAACGTACAACTTGCTGGGAAAACCGCCAATGAAGCCATCTAAGAAAACAGCAAAAAGCGCTTCAGGTGGTGTGTTAAAACTGGTTGGTGAGATGCAGTGTGAATTTTCCTTCAACGGAAAAAAATGTACAGGAATATGCTATCTGACAGAACGGCCAAACCTTGATCTTCTTGGTCTAGATATGCTAGAAAAACTGGGAATAATGGATTTACCCATTAACAGTGTCTGCAGCGTATCGTGTTCATCATTGGACAGGTGAAAGGTTACAAGATAAACGAAAGGGGAAGTCAGCCTCTGTTTCTCAGAATAGCTTTGGCTGCTGTACGAATCTGAAAGCTAACCTACCAGCGAAAGCAGATGCCAAACCTACTTCACGTCCGAGACGCCCTATACCATATGCTGTTCATGAGCCTCAACAAAACTTATCGGTGGGGAAGCAGCCCAATCGACGGTTGTTTAAAGATATGGCTCCTACAAAGCAGGCGGCTCGTAAGAGTACGGGTGGCAAGGCACCCAGGAAGCAGTTGGACTCTAGCACCAGATCCTACGAATCTTCTCAAAGGGGAGGTGTTAGTGGGACATAGATGGAATTAAAGCATGACTACGTCGCTACGCGCTGATTGGCTAATTTCCTATCCAATCAGCGCCTGATCGAAGCTTGGAGAACAGGATAGAAAATTCTCGTATTATTAGCTGCATGCTGATTGGTTAACTCTAATCTTCCAGAAGCTTTCTCATGTAAAGGCTATAAATAGACTAGCGTTGTATTTATTATTTGCCTTCTTTGCCTTCTTGCATTGGCCTTCGCCATCACCTCCGGCTTCTTATTCCTTGCTATTTTGGGATATAATCTTTCCTGTTCAACCGTGTTTTGATTTTGGGGGACTTGTCCAGTGTTTTTGTGTCAAGAATACTAAGCAATAAGATTTAGCCGGGAATTATCTAAGCAACCGTTACAACATATTCCAATGTTTAAAACTACATAGGAATGATTTTTCTATCAGTTAGTGGAGAATGAACAAGAAACTCTAAAGAAAACTTCCAAGTGACATCTTTTAGTATTTTAAACAGATGCGCCGATAATCACCGGGTCTCTATGGCCAATATACAATCAAATACACATTACAGGAACATTTCATTCAGGAAAATCATTTTCATAGTAAATGGCCAAAATGACGCTGTTAGTCATGATAGGCTGAAGACCTAAATGTACTGAAAAAACAGATACACAGCCTGACGTTTAATGTGGGAAAAGCATTAGAAGTAATACCTTTACTCGTATTCGCAAACTGATCGGTTGGTCACCGCTAGTTTAAAATGCCTTAACCACATGAATAAAAATTAGATAATTAAAGCCTAACATATGGCATGTTTGGTTAAAATAAGGTAAACATAAATCTACTACTCTTTGGTTTCTGTAACATGTTTTCAAGATTCATTATTTGAAAACAGTCAACCATGTTTAGTTGAACACAACAATCAAGCAGTCGGTTTTACGCTCACTCAGTGTTCCCATCAATAAAACTCAACTAACTAACTTTGTCCCTGATGCGTTACGAGGTGTAAACACAAACAAATGTGTGTAATAACTAACCTGGTGTATCAAAGATGTTGAACAAATACGACTTTTCTTGCATGCTGCGTAGCACCAAGGAGACTGGAGTAGACTTAATACTAAGTCCTCTTTCTACTTCCATGTGCAGGAAATCGGTGTACCTGAGCTGTTAAGTACAATTAGGAATCCGTGTATAAACAGGATAACCGCGCCAAAAGAACAGATAAAATGTTTTTATTAGGAAGAATAAAGCTAGTTAAACTGATTTCGAAAAATAAAAGACGTGAAGCTATGTAATATCAGTTTTAAATCCTGAATCACGAAATCATAATTGTTTCAAAGCTAATCATTTGATATAAAAAGGTCTTAAATGAACTAAAAAGAAATAGGTAAGAAACAAAATGACTCACATAGAATAATCTTGCCATCTTTACTTGCGATAAGTGTCTTATGCACCATCTAGTATACCAAGTAGCTAAGTGGAATCCTTTGACAATGAAACTGTCAGGTGAGTACGTTTTGGGTTTAAGAGGAAAGAGATTTGTGTTGAAGCGTGGAGATGAAACTAAACTAGAGCTATGAAGAACATGTTTAAACCCACATTATGCTCTAGTATGAACAAGTACTTGCTTGCATTTTACTGAACGCAAAAAATCCACAGCAAAATGATCAACTTAATCATGAAAAAGTCAAGAAAATAATTCAGGAACAACTAGAGGAATTGTATCCGTTTTAATTTCTATAACAAAGGTCCAATGAGTATTCGGAAGTGAATAACAAAACGGTTTCTAAAGTGAACGCTTACTACTAATTATAATTTACGGTTGTTAATACGAAACAAATATAGAAACTAGTCGGGTAAAGTCTGAACTTAGCTGATCATAAGTAGCTTAGAAAATTCGCTGAATGTACTGGTCAAAAGTAATATATTTGTAATAAGCACTTACATTTTTGTCCTCTTTAGCTTCAATATCAGGGTGAGTAAGTTCTATCAAACAGTCCATGAAGGAAGTCTGTAAAATTTAAACTCAAGCAAAATTTTGAACATACTTTCCCATGATGCAAATGTCCACAAAGAACAACGTTGCGAATTAATTCTGGGCAATCCATCAGATCAGCCAAGAATTCAGGATCATACGTCGTTGTTGGAATTGATGCTTCGGTGTAAGCAAACTTTTTGCGGCGAATAGGTTCGATCAGTGGCTGTGTTAACGGCTGTGCATCTTCTTCCTGTACTAAGGTTTCAACCTCGGGACCATAAACCTCTAGTGCACTTGGATAATACTTTTTATCTTCATGAAGAATAACCTAAAATCAAAGTTAGCACATGTATAAATATAGTAGCTATGAGTCAATAACTTTTAAAAAAATTAAGCTACATTAGGTCCACTAGAGTCCCATTAACCCCGAATGAGCTGGCACAGCTGAGTTGAAATATTTCGATCTTCCATTTGAATTACCTTCCTATGAACACACATATATAGCCACAAATATGAAATGATGGCTACAACTAGGAAAAGTACTCACGTATTGGTTTTCATTCTCACAAAGCATACTCAAGAACAGTTGTTAACGTTCGGCTTAAATTTTGATTGCGTCATTAGTTTATTCCATTTTTCCCATATTGTGCATTCGTTTATTTTTCAAATTAGCACCTTGTCTGTGGTAGAAATTTTGTCTGATATAAACGATTTCAGGTTACTGATTGGTTGAAAGTTGAATGCGACTACTGCTTGGCTCGAATTCTGAATCAGCCTTTTTGATACCACATAGGCAATCCAAACTGACTTCATTTAACTTTCGCACTCTAATGTAGATCGGACAACAGATAGGGCTGGCTGCCTTTAGAAAGTCTGGACATCGATGTTTGTTGTTTATCCGAGACCCATATTCAAGACTATAGTAACGTGTTACAAATTCGTTTCTCGTTTATCGCTTCGAAAAGCCTGTTTTGCCTGAGAATATCCAAGGATTCTGTCACATCGTCTGGTTTCGCTGGCATCTCCGTCGTGATGGAGTTGAGGAAGCGCAAATCCGCTGGATCCCCATCAACAGTCGACCATATGCTGTTAGATCAGGAAGTTCCATCAGAGCAAGAAATCAGTGAGAGAAATGATTTCTTTTCGTTATTTTCTCCTACGTCTCGACAGACTGTAGCCCGGATGAAATCACGGATGGGTCGCACCACTAGTCGAGTGATCTTCTCCAGAACGTAGATTCGACAGATATAGTACTAGCCAGAGACTTGAATTCTCAGGTTGCACGTATAGGCACAGAAGAGAGTCATCTGTATGGCGAACGGGGACTTATTCGCCGCAGATCAGATTACCGCGATCGTCTTCTGCAAATCTGCGCAGACTACATCCTTTTTCTAATTAGCATTAACTTTTGGCAATGTACTATCTGGAGTCCTCGCTTTGCAGCTCAAGCCTGAACTCTGGTCACATAGTGGTCATCTATCGCTGGTGTATTTATGTACACGACTGCTGCTTCTTTTACAGTACTTATATCGACTCTGACCGTACTCTTGTTTGCTCTAGTCTTATCCTACGTCGCAGTCGTCAACAAATTCGTCCTACACGGATTGATGTCAGTAAATTAGTTGTAACTTCTGTTGCGACTAAATTCCAAACTGAGCTAAGTTAAATCTTAGCCATCGACACACCAAGTATAAATGAGCATTTGCTGCGATTGCATGATGCCATGAAAATGGATGGTAAGGTCGCTTGCGGCTTTGTGAAGCGTCTAGCCTAAAAACACTGGGTTTCTATAGGCTCCTTATAACTGGTTGAGTCACGTCGGTCTACTTCAGGTAGCTGCGAGTTTGAAGGCAAAAGATTGTTACGTAATCAAGTATTGCGGCTTTGTGATATTAGGCTTGTTGTAAGAGGTAGCGTCTACAATGCGTCAGTGAGAGTAATTTCGGTCGGTAAGTGTGAAACCTCATTTCTCTGAATTAAGTGACTCTTTGGGTTAGATCATCGTGTCCCCGAGAGAATTACTGACATGCAATGCGATGTCAGTAATACAGAGGTTTGGCAACGTACATTCGGACAGTGACGAAAAATTCAGCCAGTGTCACCATCTTAAAACACCGACTCCGGTGGCTTGGACATGTACTATGAATGTTGTTCCAGTGAGTTACTCATCGTATACCATTTGTTAACTGTAGGACTGGTTGGAATAAGCTGAGTGTGCCACCCCATTGGATTGAAGCTTCTTTTTGAGCATATTGTTGGGTAATACATGTGAAATTTATGTTTTCGAAATGTTAACTATACTTATATATAAGGTAAAGATGCACGAGTTTATGCATCATTCTGAAAAACAAAACTAATACATCATAATATTTTAGGGCTTACTTACAGCTAAACTTTCTTCCTGAACCTCGTTTGTTTCAATGTGACTAACAGCATCCTGAGCCATATCTTCCTCATCAGCAACTTCATCACCAATGCTATTTACATCGTCCTCCACCTCTTCGTCAGACAAAAGGTCAGGCCCAATGTAGTTTCCGAACTCATCGTATAAATCCGTGTCCATTTTTAAGATCGAAAAAGATGCTGAAAACGCTGATGACCGTGTCGACTATGGAGCGAATTTCTAAAAAACAAATTAAAGGAACTAAATTAATCAATCATGAAAAGGATAAAACCGGAAACAGCTGAAAAGCGCGTGTAAAACTGCAGTTACAGGAACACCAGAGCTTGAAAGTACCAGTATCACAACGGACTACTGGTATGCATTTGCTGTATAACCATTTCAACCCGAAGTAATAGTCCTACACTAAAAACGCTGTTGTGAGTAATGTCATGATAGTGAGAGGAAAGGATCAGGTGGTCGGAGCTAATGCTGAAAAAAACAGCCCAAATACGTCTTACAGTTCTTTCGATGAACTTCGCATTTTTGAGTAGAAATTGAATTTTACCATCAACACTATTTTCATGTTCTGTGACCAGGAAAAATGCACTTGATACACTGAGAATTAAATAGCTCTTGTCCGGTAATAAGCAATATACGGTTTGACGCAAATGCAGATCGCCTAACTTATTATGTAAACGCGTGGTTATCGGTGCAAAGGGGTAACTGATATTTATGCTCCACAATGCAGTGGCGCAAAGTCAACTGTTGCAGTCTCGTGGTAGTCAGTGACCAACAAGATTCATACACAATTCGTCTTATCAGGATTGTGGAGCCTGTGTGCATCAATGGTTTGGAATCAGGGTTTTCCACATTCCATGGGTGAACTATAGGTACTCACCAACTCAATCAAAGCGCGGGACATTCGCTCTTCCGAAAACAATGCCCATGCCACGCCAAGACAGTAGGTAGGCCTTCCCTAGTAATGTTCACAGGAGAATTCGAGGGAGAGAGCGAACATTTTCAATTCCCAGCTGTGCCGGCTTATTTAGGGGTTCAGGTTACCACGCTTCATATCACCACGACAAACCAAATTCAAAATAGGAACATTACGAATAAAAGAGGTAGTGGTATTGTCAGAAATATCCCATGAACAAATTGATTCAACAAGCAAATATGAAGTGCATTTTTCGGGATTTGAGGTCAGACAGACAAAGAATATGTACTATTTAGACCCCTTTATCATTTAAATTAACCATACAAAGGGGAAAACAATGTAATAAAGTATTTCTACTTTTGTAGCTCGTTAAGCCATTACTAGGGCGGGATGCAAGCGTACGTCGATATCATTTCTACTTTTTGAAGCAGAGGTTTCGACTAGCCCACTGAGGTCAAAACAGGTGAGACAAGTCTAAAAATAAGCAACCAAGCACCAACCACTGAACAGCGGCTGCCAAATAATCGAATCCAGATAATCATTTATTGAAGACGATACGTAGCTCTGGTTTAAGGAATTTACTGTAGAAGTTGTAGCCGGCTGTACTGTTACAAAACGGTACATCTTTAAGCGTCACTGATGACTTCAGTAACATTACATGGTGACAGCGAAGAGCGATCTTGTGAAAATAGAGCAGCAATATGTTTATATTACTAAAAGAACTTGGAGACATAGCAAGAATACTATAGTAATAATCAATAAATACTTATGAAGGTATACATCAATTTTCACTTAAAACATTTGAAATTTACTGGCCAATTTTCAATCAGACTCAACTAAGTCCCATTGGTTTAAACCGCGAAATATTCCAGTACCACTAACTTTAACTGGAGTTAATGTCGACGGAAACAAGAGTAATTTAAATTCAACCCACTCACACCAAGATGTTGAACAAGGGTAACGCAGAGTTTGTAGTCTTGCCAAAATGTTTTGCACGGAGATAAAAACAACTCGCTCAAATAAGTCTAATAACTGATTCTCAGAAACTAACATGTCATTTAAAATTATAAAATTAACTCCCAAGTGGTTATATTTTTACACTTCATAACTGCAACCAGAACCAATTACTCATTTAGCTGACCAGACAGTTCAAATAAGTTACGTACACTATATTTTCAAGTTTCATTCATGAAGACCGATCTTGATGTAACGGAATGATTACCTTAACATTTCATTCGAAGCATATAATCCATATAAGTTTGTTTATAAGCTGTAGAATCCTTATAGAAAACTGAAGATATTACAACTACAACAGCTAAGTTTTGACCAAACACTACTAGACGGAGATCTCAATACTCAGTCCCTAAATCTTAGTTGTCAGTTATATCTCCCACATGTTGCTTCCAAAAGCAACTTGTCGTAGTTGTTAGGAGTTCCAAAATGACTGAGTATATATGTGACGACCCTTAATGGATTAAGGACGGAAAATCCTCGAGGATGTCCATGTCTACTCAATGATAGGAAGTAGTGACCCTGGCGCTGTCCTGTTTACTGTTGTTAGAAACGAAATGCTCATTCAGGACGAAAAATTGTCCTACCTATGCTAAACCAGAGTAAACTACTGGGCCAAGCGAGAGCAGCTTATTCCCTATCATGGCCAAGAGAATAGTATAAGCTAATAGTAGGGGATAACTGGAACATCATTCAGAATGCTGTACTGCATAACACTCTCCATGCAAATCACACACTAGGAAATGGGAGACGCTAGTTCTCGCTTTACAGAGCGAAACAGATGCATGGCCGAAGTTTCAAGCGATAGGGGACGTTTCCAGACGAAGCTAGCAGCCAAAATACAGGCGAACGCAAAATATCTCTTTAGGTTCGTGACCAAATGGAAACCTAAGAACCGGAGTGTTTTTTCAATCCTAGTTGAAGTGACCAAAGCCCTGTCAGTGTATAACTTCAAAAAGAGATTTGACAAACTCATAATCACACAGATTAGCATCTAACGCTTCGATCAGCGGTACTAGATGCATGTTTCACAAATTGCTTATTGTGATTATGGATATTTTCTTGAATTAGTAATTGAGCCAATCTCGCTTATTATCTATGGTTCCTGCCACTCACCAACACTTCGGTCCTCATACACAATCTCCACTACCAATTAATCAACCTACTTATCCATGTTCTGCCAACAAGTGTCAGATAAGGACCCGAGAGTAGCGAGTCAGATGGAAGACATGAGGTACAACTAATGATTACCGATGCACGCTACAGGATCAATAGAAAAGGAAACTAGAGAGAACTCTTAGATCAGAATGCTAAACAACAGTGACAACGGCTATCAAGATGTCAAGCAGAAGACATAGAGAACAAAGAAGAAACTTTCTCAATGAAAAACTATTCAAGATTTCAATCCTACCTATAGAATAAAACGAACAATTGTGTTGTCAACGTGTCAAAACAACACCTAATTACAACAGAAAGGTACCCCTGAAAAGGATTAGAAAATAACACAATAATAATAATAATAATTTATTCTCAAATAACAAACATATTACAAGAGACATGCCAATTTACAGGCAAGATCAAAATGTTAAGATTAGCAACATATTTTTTTTTAAAACGTTATACAGTTACTGAAACATTTCACAAGATTCATTGTTTTCTTAAAGATGGAATGTACAAAGCGAGTAATTGGCGCAAGTTACGAAGGTTGCGTTACGACAATCATCTTATGGATCGAGAAACGATTCATGAAACAGATGGGTTTTCATATAACAAGAATTGATGCGGTAAATGTACAAAGGTCTGGTTGATATTCGTCAGCTAATGATTTCACATGTTATTGGGTAGGGTAACCAAGTCTACTGCAAATATCCAGACTAATATATGTGGATTGGAATAAGGTTCTGAAAAAAGGAATAAAGAAAACGGGACGAGGAGCAGAACAGAAAATATTCATGTTCAAAGACGAACAATGGCTTTGCACATACGTTTATGGATAAAAAATAGGTATGTTTACCCAAACATTTTTAATAACAGAACACTTTACACCTGCGCTTATGTAGGTTAATGAAGACAATTCAGTAGTGAGATAACTAATGAGAAGTTAGTCGAAAGAATCGAGGAAATTCAGAAGAACCCAGTTGTTAGTAATAAAGTTGATTTCCAAAATATAATAAAGAGGATCAGTGATATAATTTTTTGGTTTTATTTATTCTTTTTCTTTTTAACTCTGTAGAATCCTTTTTGAATGTTTTGTTTTTTGGAAAATCCCTTCATGTTTACATATTTTTGTTATGACATGACGGACTTTTTCTGTTGACAGTTTTGGTATTTTATTTGATTCCAATTTGAGATTTTATCATTGTATATTGTTATTATTTCTATATTTTGTACTTATATTGAAGTTTTTGTGTTTGCTTCTGATTGTATATATGTTGTTTAAATTTGACCTTTAATATGGCTACAGCCATATTTGGATTGATCCGGTTGCAGTTGGACTTAACGCCACTTACTCATCCTTGTTGGATACTCTTCGGAGTAATTGTAACCTGGAAGGAGCATTAATTCCAGACTGCTTTCTCCTAGAATTTTTGTCCTCTTTTGATTTGTTTGGACCTGGGACTGGGAGAAACGAGTACAGGAGTGCACCTATTGGAACCCATTGGAACTGCCACCGTAGAAATCCATTCACAAACTCTGAGGCTCAAGAAGTTATGAATGAGCTCTTTTTTAGTATAGTTGTCCAGACCAGCTTGTAATATGATTTCTCGGTAGGAATTAAAAACCAGTGCAAGGTTACAGACTTGGGTTGTAGACGAGGTTAACTAGGAAAAGTAACATCAATATCACTGATTTGTTACATCCTGCTATATCGTAAGGAGCCGTAAGCAAACAAAATGTTCTGCCACACAGACATGGGTAGATTGAGGTTATCGCCCCACCGTCATGAACGCTTCAAAACTGGAATTCTTCGCTGCACTAGAGTTATCACTCAAAACGGCCGAAATAAGTGAAAAAACTCAACAAGTAATAAGATAAACCACAGTACCACTAACTCGATCTAAGAGAGACAACAACCAGCTAACAGCACAACAACGAAAAGCCTTAAAGAAACTCAAAATCAGGGAAGATACATCTTAGTCCTGGCGGACAAAGGATGCACTGCAGTAATTGTGGACAAGAGAAAATATATCGCGAAAGTCGAAGAACTACTTGAGGATAGAAGCGTATGTAAACCAATGGATACATACCCAAAACATTCTTAGACAGCTATTTCTGAAGGACTCTAAATAAGATTTTCGAAGCATGATAAATATGAATACAAGATGAACTGTGAATGAAATTCAGTGAACCTGTAATTCCACGATTCTAAGGTAGGTCGAAACACCACGAACCCAAAATTTTAATACTTCCAGTTGTATCTCTCCCTGAAACCCAAACATACGGCTTTTCAAGGGAAATTTCAAGGATTCATTCAACTACTCCACTAAGTCTCTCACACAATTGTCGGACAAACTCAAGGGGATTTAAAAAGACAAAGACGAAGTGATGATATCTTTCAGCATAACAGCCTTATTTACCAACAACACAAATCTCCGAAAATATTCTAAACTTCAGAGTTGAAGGCTCACAGAACTCATCAATGTTTGCTTAACAACACATTTCCAATTCAACAACGGAATCTACGAACAAACAGAAGGAACACCAACGGGATCACTACCATCAGGAATAATCGCGGAAGCTCTTATGTGGAGACTAGAAGCGTCGGTTTTACCAATGATGAAGCCAGAAATATGGGTTCGATGTGTGGATGACACATTTATCATTATTAAGAAGGACGAGCTGGAGCACATCTACAGTCGGATCAACAACGTCTTTGATGACATAAAATTCACAATGGGAAAGGAATTGAACAATAGCGTATCATTCATGGATGTACTTATGACCAGAACTGACGCAGGAAAACTGAAGATCCAAGTATTCCGGAAGCCAACCCACACACACATTACTTCAGCAAGACTACTGAAACCATTTGGGTCAGGTGTAGCACATAAACCAACAGAATTCCTGCAACCAAACCTATATAGACCAAAGGACGAAATGACAAAGGAAGAATAATGAACTGTCATTTACAAAATAAATCGCTCAAATTGTGAAAAACACTACATGTGACACAGTGGACATCCTCTTCAACTTCGCCTGAGTAAACATTAATTAGTGGCCTAGCGCCGTGACATTATTAACACACATTGATTTTAAGTGAAGATCCTGAAACGAAACTATATGCACTTGTCGGTTTATTATGTAGTGAGTTTGGCTGTACTTAGTGACGTAAAAGAATGTTTGAGTATGAAAAACTAGTCTACATTATATCATTTGATATCATCTCATGATATCATACTCTTACATGGCATTCACTGGATAACACCACGGAGAACAATGTCGATTGAATTTGAATCAACAAAAAGTCCATAACGACCACGGAGGACGTAAGAACATTAAGAGTAGCTGACATCGCTTGGTAACGGCCAAGATGAACCTGAAACTAAAGAAGCACTGGACAACTGGCAGAACAGCCTCTCAAAAGTTTAGTACCGCCCTCCTTCGGGAAACTGGCAGACTCAACCAATTCCAGATAACGCTCAGAAACAAGTTTAGAACCTTTCATGATCTACTGAGTGGAGAGGATGCTACCATGGAGAATAACTAAGCAATAGAACAACGAGGCAATAACATCAGCATGCCTTGAGGTTTGAAGCCACGAGAAGCACCACCTCAAGACATAGATCCTAGTTGATAATCTGGATAATATTGAAGAAAGTAAGAACAGAAAGATTACGATCAACAGCAACCGAAAAAGACCAGAGAGAGCGAGGGCACTGGCCGAATGCACATATGCACATATGTGGTTCTATTTCATATCAAGTCTTCTGCTTTCACTCACTGCGGTTTGGAACACTCGGATTAGAGTAGTCTGT